ATTAAGCGTAAACCAAAATTTTGTGTTCTACTCGAGCTTATGTATAGAAATAATTATTTTGGTATTACAGCTCCTCCCAGACTTACGACAGGGTTAGGGACCCAAATCCAGGTCATAAGTCAAAAATGCTTAAATAATACATAGGAAATCTAAAATGGGTGTCTCTTTTTATTCTCAGCACCAAAAACTCTCACTTTTAAGCTTGCCAGCCATTTTAAATAGAATTACAAATGAAAATTTTGTCAGTACACAGCACAATCACTGACGTTGGGACTCGAAAATACATAATTTGACAAAATTTTGGTACGACTGAGACTGTCGTATGACCGGGCGGTAGTAAGTCGGGGAGGAGCTGTATTAGTTTCAGCCACAACTCGGTTAGAGTAATTTTGTGTTTACCATTAATTATATCTTGTTAAAAGGAACAACCTTTTTTTATACCACTTCCTTAGCTAATGGATTTTAACCGAGAAAGTAAATTCACATAGAAATTAATGTAAATCTGCAGTCACCGCATGCTGTCTGTTTGTTTACAGCCAGACTCGTTCAGTCTGAGCTTACTCTCACGTCCACAACAAAATTATACCATTATGCTTCAACAAAGTTGCCTTCATGGGTACTTTCTGTATAATATAGTGCTGACAGCTAGGAAGTTAGGTAAGGTTAGGCAGGTTTATTTGGTTGGTGGTTAGGTCAGGTTGTATAAGGGGGGGGGGTTGATAATTCCATAACTACTAATTTCCGATGGAAATGATGGTCAAATTCGAATGAATCACACCAAATACCACGGGAAAGCAAAAAAATTTGGTTGAACAGTAGTTGTGGCTGAATTTAAATTTACCATTATTTTATCGTGATTACTCATATAAACTGTTTGTAGACAAATTATTTGCAAAGCAAAAGTAACAAACCCCACCCTTTTACCTCAAATAACAAGTTTGCTACGGTTCATTAAAGTTCAATTATCTGTCATGTGGTGAGGTAAGTAACTAGCCATACCCTAAACCCAAGAGTGTTATGTATGGGCAGGGATGTGTTTTAACCTTACCCATGGGATTAACACTTGTGACTTATGAACCTGGTCCAGGAACATACCCTGTTTGTAACTCTGGGACTGTCTGCACAGAATACTGTACAAGGAGTACATTACATTTGGTGAGGCAGCTCTCCTGACCCTGGTAGGGCCTTCCTGTGTCCATGGCATCATTATTTCAAGTTTGTTTTAAATTATCACAGGCTTACACAGTTCTTGATGATGGTGGGTGTAATTAAGGAATCAGTACAACACATGGACGACATTGTGAACAGATTCACAACAAGATAACACAAATACACCCATATAAAGACTGAACTACACACAAGAGTCACCAATGAGAGAGGCTTATGATAAACCACCAATAAATTCAACAATATTATACTGTATCTAAAAAAATTAATTTGGTTAATGAATAACAATAAACACAACATTATATTGCATAAAAAAACATAATAAACTAAATAAAATAGGTATCTACTGTACAACTGGTGCACTACAGGTGATGGGGTGAACACCTTTAAGATATTGATAAAGGTTAAGAATAGAATGGTCAGATAACAGAGGATATACACTACTGTATGCTGTATCTATAATTAAAATGTGAAACAATAAAAAAATCACATTTAATTACAAAGTTTTTTGGTGTGACTTGTCTTAACATACATTTGATACAAGTATCCCTCACTGAACACAGTACAGTAGACAAAAGCTGTCATGTAAGGTGCAATTAATAATCCCTTAGGAAAACAAATGGCATGTTTGTGAGAGATAATGAGTCACAAATATTAATGTATTACCTATTATGTGCTTAGTACAGCACTGTAAGTTTTGTGAAAATTGTTCTCTAATTGGTGAATAGTACAGTGTATAAAACAAAATACCTGTACTGTTCAAATGCATATTAACTAAGGAATATCTGTGCTCACTGTCTGTTTGACAGGAAAATGCAGTCAATTTGCCTTCTTTTGAAAACAGTACACCAAGTCCTAGTTTTCTGTGAGGCATAGGGGTCAAAAATTATCACATAGCAAAATGGCCCTTTTCCCTACTATATAAAGTACAGTACAGTAATCCCTTGGTAATTCTGATTATATGGAACTGTAACCATTTAGTGTTAACAGATTTTCTGAGTTATTGGGGCACTTTCCTCCTGGTCTTTTGCCTCCTGTTTTCATAACCCCTTGCCTCCCACCCCAATATTTAGAGAGTTCAACTTTAATGCCCTATATCTATAAGGTTGACTAGCGATTTGGACAAACACTGAAAATAAGAAAAATAAGGCCGACTGATGCTTATCTGAAAGGCAGAGCCTCCCGCACATCTTGTGTGGGTACCACATGTTATGCCATTCTGAGACTGCCTTATTATAATTCGCAATATTGCGAGTATGTAAAATATAATTTAGTAACATATTTTATTGCCGTGCCGAGTTATATAGAATAAAAGTGATCAAATTCAGAGTTATCAAGGGTCTAAGTCACATTAGAGTATTGAAATGATTTTTCCACAACATACTGTATAAAGTTTCATAATGTAACAATGGCAACGTGTGTACTGCAAAAGCATCTCACCGGCCACAGGGGACTGGCATTGTGTGTTATGTTTTGATTTGTGCTCTGTGTTTGGATCAGGTGAAATTAAAACAAATAACGTAAGTAGACGACAATATTTAAATACAATCCAATCAATAATAAATATGTACCTAAAGCACTGCACATACCTTTAACAATCTTGATACCAAAGAAAGGAGGCTGCAGTAATGATAATCTAGATGTTTATTATGATGATATTGAAGTTCTTGATAATGTTGCTGCTGGCATCACAGTCAACTGGTGGGTCATCTGGATCCTCAGATGAGGATGGTGAGGCAGCCAGGAAGCTGATCATATGAGGTTGGCTCGGTGTGGAGGAAAGTGGCTGGCATCGGAGAGGGAGAAGTGGGGAGCTGAGAGGTATAAGGTTGGTGTGTGTGTGGGAAAAGATGGAGAAGGAGAGTTACCCGTGTTCCGATTCAGTCACCGGTGTCACACTTAATTTAAGTTTTGTTAGGAACACAGTTATGAGAAGATGTTGTGCTATTTTCTTTAGTTCTTTATAAATCTGCACGAGGAGTTGCAGTATTTTCTACTTCTCTTTTGAACTTTTATGCTGCATTCCATACAAGTATATTTATAGACCAAATCAGTTAATGCCTTTACTGTCACTTTGGTGCATATAAGAGCTGTGTAATGCATTGTTTTTCTCATCTATATGTTTCTAGAACAATGAATCTTGTCATAATACACGTGATATTGATGTTTACATTGTATTCACCTGTCTTGTGACTTGCTGCTGTGATGTCAACAGTTTGATCCAGTCAGTTTGAATAGACCTTTAATCTAGTGTTTTTTTATATCAAAGATAGAAAATGGTCAATCTAGCCTTTACTAAATTTTGTAAATATAAAACACTCACCTGGATAATCTAGTATGGGCCTACCTGGAGAATTACAAATAAAAATTTCATTACCCAAGTATTTAAAGTCATTGTCTGATTCCAGGACGGTGGAACCATTATTCAATACTGCAAATCAGGGGATTCTCATTAAATAAAAATAAATGAGGTCCCATTTTCTCTTGTTTCCATGATTAATACTCTCCAGTTTTCTTCTTCATCTGTGTTCATATAAGTTACCAGGATCTTTTTCAATCAATGTAACCATAAGACTAGGAAATAGTCGAGCTCAGCTACAGTGGGTTGGGTTTCCAGATGATGTCAGGTCACAAAATGAGCAAGAAAATGAGTTTGATCTTATGGGCAGAAATATCTTGCATTTTTTTTTTTTTTGACAGGAACCTGAAAATTTTCAAAAAAAAATCTAATGATACATAACACAGATTGCCCACCCTTAGTTACAGAAAACTTTCACACTTATTAGAAGATAAATTATATTTTGAATTTCTATTTAATCGTCATTCCAGGTATCACAAACAATTTTTTATTTGGGTTTAATAATAATGTAACTGATATTTTAACATTATGCATACTCTAGTGAATAAATATTTATTAACTATTCTTTCCAGTCACCTCAATCAAGGTTCTTTAATCCTTTTAAGATGGTGATAGGAACTCCTGGTTATTACCAGCTGGACGGGTGAATATCAAAATTGACAAGAAAATCATTGTCACTCAAATTCCCTTAAGATTCACTAAAATCACAATTCAAATCTCGAGGAAAGTCACCATCTTCACTTGTATCACTGTCACTATGCACAAGAAAGTCATCTTTGTTTCCCAAATTACATAATATGACATCAATTTTCTCCTGCGAGGGACATGAGTGGAAGTCATACTGTTGTCTTGACTCAGCCATTGGCCAACCTAAACTTATGGCTAAGAGACCTGCAGCTGCTTTGGGGCAGTTGCCAGGAGGCTCCACAAGGATGCTCAGAAATCACAAAGAATGGAAAATTTAAAATGAGCCTGTAGAATATGTCAGCAAAGGCTTAACACAAATGTATTGGCAGAATAAGACAACTGTTGTACTTTTATATCCAAAAATATTTCCATACAAACCAACTTCTATGGCAATTAAAAAAAAACAAAATACACGTAGTTGTTAATTATAAAATATCTCCTCCACAGCTATGACATATAAATTACATTCAGGATCTCATCCACAACTTATAACCCTAACCCACCTGCGGTAGCGGTTCAGTTTTCGAGGCAACACATTAATTTTTCCCATCAAAACAAATTCACCTTATTCTGCTCAGATGATTTAGGTACAAACTTTCCACAATAGTCTCATTAAAGTCACTCATTAAAGTATTAACTTTCCACAATAGTCTCTTATATTGTTTGATCTCATATTTAAGTGAAGAAAAAACAAAGAAACAAAAAAACAATTACTGTACTCCCTTCTACTGCATTCCTAAAATAATGTCATTCAATTCACCGAAAATAATTACTAAAACACATTGGATGATTTTTTTATATGATTTTATTAAAACTAACGATATTTTCATATCCATGCAAGTTTTCCCTCTAAACTAATGGGTTCACTCATTTAGGTGAAAACTTATGTATGTAAAGCATATGTAATGTTTAATAAAAATTCAAGTTATATACCAAACACTGAATGATGTCCCAATCTCAACACGATTTCAGAAGAGAAATGGATTGTTTGAACAAATCTTTGTCCAGAAGAGGACTGTCTCCGATGAGATCTTGTTTTGGAAGATTACACAGTTGGCGTCTGGAAAGCAAGCAATATATTAATATTAGAGTATATTGTTGTTTACAATGATAAGTTTTAGAAATTAATGTAAAATATAATCTTAATCATCTTACTAATGAAGCTGAACTAATTTAGATGGTACTAATTCTGCGATTACTTTTACCGTAAGTCCTGAGCTGTGGTAGTGAGAAACTTGATAGCATATAGCCAGTACAATAGGGTCAGGATATATAGCAACTTTATATAATGAATTTTTTATATCGCGGCTACCAAATTATCGACATTTCCCTATATACTATAGCGATATATATTTTTTTTTCCATGAGGAAAATCAGGCAGGAAATATTTCAAATTTACCACGACTTCCAAAATTATCGTCATTTTCCAATATATAGCAACTCACAACTTATGTGGGGTTATGTTCCTGGGACCTCACATAAAGCCAAAACCTATAAAGCCAGAAACACTCCTAAAAATCCTTTAAATCATCCCAAAAATACGAGTTGAAAAGCTGTACAGTACTTAAATGTACTACACTAATGTACTAAAATTTCTATCTCTTGTGCAAAATATATGATGTCTCTATTCAAATTATTCGCTGTCTTGCATGGATTCCAGCAATGCAAATTATATTCTGCTAACTTTAGTCTATGACAATTTATAAGATAAAAACTTTAAGCCTAAAACCACTTTCAATCTTGCCAGAAGTTGATGTATTATGACAGCTGGCCCAGCAGCCGGCCAAGTTTACCGAGTGGTATTTACTTATGAATTTATATTCTGCTAACTTTAGACTGTGCCATTTTATGTCAAGTTTAGTCACTTTTATTGGCCTCCAGAAACTAACCCTATTTTCCCCATTGATTACATGTAATTATATATCGCAATTTAGTATACAGCGAACATCCTTGGACCCTATCTCGCGATATATCCCGACCCTACTGTTCTACAGTAGGCTACTAAATCTACAAAAATTATTTTTTCAAAATATATCTTGCTAATTATAGGGTGCATCTTATGACCTGGGAAATATGGTGCTCTCTAATGTCCTGTAGTGTTGACTCCTCTTGATCCCTGGCACACAGCCTCAGATATATTTTAATAGCAATCCGTGAGTTTCCGAGGGATGCACGCTTAAAAACTGCGAGCTTTAAGGGAATTCTGTACAGTATATAACTAACAGCTCAACCACCATCGATGTGAATAGATGCAAACGAAAGGAAAATTATCTGTAAATTTCCACTTGTACAAGGTTTTGTAGATTTAAAGTGGCAGAAGGTGAATAAGGTTCTGCTCTTCATGTAGCAATATAAAGAAAGAATCTAAAGGTACAGGAGGTAAAATCAGGTTAAAGGAGCTTACTGATAAGTTTAGCATACTTTGAGCATGTACTGGGTAGCTATCGTTCACTGTAAATAACCCCTTAACAATATTATGTGTGTATAGTTCTGCTCCCTACTTTTGCATAACAATTTTATCATAAAAAAATTGAACCATACTCGAGTACAATATGGTAGCTATGCGAAAACGCTTCATTTGCTGGAAAAACCATCACAAAAATCATTTTCTAAGACATGTACTTCAGCAGTGCCACTAAATGTTAATCTGTAATACTGTACTGTGGAGCTGTCGTGCAATTCTAAGCTAGGAAAATGGGAATGGATTGAGAAAATGTAACTACTCACCTAAGAGCTATATCTTGACGGGCACACAAGGCCCTTCTATTTGGTCCAATGCCATCTAGAATCCTTTGACAGTGTTCAGCCCGGGCCTTTAGTAAGCGCAGCACACCACCTGATTCAACTACTGAAGGTATTTCCATCTTCTTGACTTCTGTAAATGGTAACACAAAAATTAATTAAAACAATAAAAAACAACAATTAGAAAATTAATGTTAGCAGTGATATCCTCATGAGCCGGAACAATTGGTGCAAAGCACTACCAGAAATGAAAGATTTCTGTGTAATGATATGATTCTCAAACCTAGAAAAAATTCCCCATCCCTGGAATTTTCCTGAGTACAGTACAAGTTAAAGTTTCTTGGAATTTTCTGGAAATTGCGCATTACAGTATTTCATCCTCGGAATTTGCTCCCAGACCTAAAAAAAAAATATTGGAGAGAGTTTCCATGATTTTCTTGGAAATTTTCAGAATTACACATTATTTCATCTTCGGAATTTGCTCCCAGACACAGATTTTTTTGGGGGGAGAGCTTCTGGAATTTTCAGAAAATGCGTCCGATTTTCAGTCTCGGAACTTGGTTCCAGACCCGGAAAAAAGTTGGAGAGAGTTTTTGGAATTTATCTCGTAATCTTCTAGAAAATGCGCCTGATTTTCATCTTTGGAAAATCATTCCCAAACTTGGAATTGAGAAATTTTCCAGAAAAATTCCAAGCAAATTTTTTACTTTCGGCTATTGTAGAGTTCCGGCTAAAGAAGATATTACGGTACAGTGTTTAGAAAAACTAAAACTGACAATATTTCAAATGCAGCTAATCAAACCATCCTTGAAAATGTTAGATCAGGTTATGAAAGTTGTGGAAAATGATAAAAAAATTTATAAGGTGCAACTTATACCAATGTAATAATGCTTGGGGTAAAAAGTTAAGTTTCAGTTTGTTAGCAAAGCATCACAACCTTATTTAGGAAATAGAACTGCAGCATTTAACAGCTATGCAGCACTCACTCGCATTACATCAGTTTGCTATAAATGGTTTTGATGTTAAACAACTAGTTTATTAACACCAAATATTCTTCATAAACACAGTACAGTTCAGGGTTACATGATTTAGAGAGAACAAGGTGAGCCTAATTTGAATAAATTTCAAATTGTATACTCCAAACATTTACAAAAAATGCTATGATAAAGAATAAAATTGATACATAACACTTCGTAAAATACAATAGTACAAAAAAACAGCTCCTGCACTCAAACCCTCCTCTGGCTGATGAGAGACAGTTCAACCAAGCAGCCATCCAGCTGACTCAGAGATGTGTGTGTCTGTTGCACTGTGTGTAATCTGTAATGTTATATAAAGGAAGACAGCCAGGCTAGGTAGCCTGGGCTAGCAATGCAGTTACAGTCCACTGCCTCCACACATATGTTCACTTCCCACACATATACTGTACATCCATGCTCTTAATTTTTCTTATTTAAAGTTTCATATTATATTTTCCTTATATCTAAGGTACATTAGAGTACTGTATTGTAATTATTTTTCCACAACTTTCATAGTTTCATTACATGAAACAATGACAATATGCATAACCATCTCACAGACCACATCATCTTTCAGTCTAAATAAAAACCAGCCTGTATTGATGAGTACTCATACTGTGCTGTATTTCTCTTGAATTATATAATTGTATATTTATGCATTATTTGTCTGTTATGTCAGTTAATAGAAAAAGGTTCAGTACTGTATTGGGTCTTGGGACAAGGTCTGGAACCTATCCTCCTGTGTACCATATTAAAAGAGATTCACTTTATATGAATTTGCTTCCAAGGCCCTTTCCTAGAACATATCCTTCATTTAAATTGAGGGAGTACTGTACCCACCGAATACACTACAGTCCACACTTGCCTGTATCATCTTGGGTAGCATCTACAGAGCAAAGTTCTCTAATTTGCTGCACCACTTCTGGTCGAGCAAACCTGGTGGAAACTCCAAGACGAGCCAGCAAGTGGGGAGCACTGAAACGTTTGAGCGCAGTCCCAGCTGCCACTTCATTAGTTGCTACTCGGGAGGAGTCTCGAGCCAACAGGGCCCAGTTTATGTCAAGTGCTCCAGCAACATCTGTAATAATAATCAGTGGTTAAGATACCAGTCTTTAATATTCTATATTCAGTAGAAAGCAAAACCACTTAGAATGATGAGCAAATCTTGGAGTTGCAGCTATGAAACAAATTTAAAGTTGGCCCTGATAAAAAGGGTGATCACAGTAAATGAATCATTAAACACTGAAAAGCCAATCCCCTGCATCCCTTCACCTCCCTTAGTTAAATTAAACACTGCTCACCCCCTTCCCATGCCACACCCTATCTCAGTCTGACTACCATACCAAACACAAACATCTTAAACATCTAAGTGTTGGTGACCATAGTTACCTCACTCCCTGGATACTGTATATAAAATGCACAAGTATATAGTAAATTAATATTAAATTAATTAAAAACCATTACAGTACCACCTCAATGGAAAAAAAATGATGTGTAGGAACATGGAAAGCACTAAAATATATACTGTAGTATAATGTTGGTGGAAGAGCAGATTAGGTGGAGGGTTCAGGGAAGGCTGGGGGATGAGCAGAGGTGGTGTGGCATCCATGCAGCATCACGATCAGGCGGAAGTTAATGAGGGAAAATGAGGGGGGGGGGGGTGGGGGAGACACTAGGAAGGCAGTGGGGAGGCCTACAGTTACCCAAAATACTTTATTTTTTCAATTTAGTAGCCACAAGCCTTTGTATTCCCGGAAAAATAAAGGCATGCAATTTGAATGCCAAACCAGGACATGCCCTACATCGATTGAAGGGGGATAGTATCCTAATGGGAACACATTGATTGATGGGGTTAGTACTTTAGAGGTACAGAGTGGTAGAAAAGGTGGAAAATAAATTAACTCTGCATAATGTACAGGTATCCTCGCTTTACAAATGTTCAAGATACAAAAATTCAAGTCGTGCACCCACTGTGGTCAGCTGGGGCAGCCATCTTAGAGAGATGCGCAGAGGACTTATTCTTACTTACTGATCACAACAAACCCCCTCCCTCCAGCATCTCCACCCAGTCCATGTCTTTCATTACGCCATTCTCCATCCCTTGTGGTGAGAGCCGACTTCCCTCTCTTAAAGTATTCGCTCACACAATTCAGTTTGTTTTTTAATTCAAAGCTAAGGGTGGTGGCATGCTTATTTAAGTATTACACTTACCGTAACATTGCTATTTCAGGTAGATAAACTTAACTTTCTTCACTTCTTATAACTCAGTTACATGCAAACAATCCTTCATACATGTGTAAAAAAGGTAAAATAAATAACTTTCATAAAGTAAAAAACATAAAGGAAATAAGCAATTCTTTCTTTGTGTGCGAATTAGTGTGCTGAGTGAAGGAGCGGAGTGTGGGAGCCTCGTTGCTAAGGGTAGGCAGAGGCAGCATCCCAGCCGTGCTGTTGCTAACGCAAGCTTTGAGGTCACCCGCCAGGCAGTCCCTGAGTTACAAACGCTCAACTTATGAACACCCGTACTTATGAATGGGATCCCAATAGTATATTCATTAAAAAATTTTTTTACAGGTATCCCTCAATATATGAATGTTCGAGATACGAATATTAGCTTATATGAATGTCCTAAATCAACACCTATTTTTCATGTTATGAAAGCTCTCCCAGCTTATATGAATTTGGATCCCAGCAAAAATTCAAATCATGCACCCTCGGGAGCTACCGGGTAGCTGGGGCGGCCACATCCCCTTACCAGGTCGAGGTAAGAGTTGTTATGGTTATTTTTCAACTCATAATTTTAGGTTATACAGTACAGTGAACCCTCGAAGATCCGGACTAAAAGGGGGAACCACCTGTCTGATAAAACCGATTGTCCGAGCCTTCCGGTGAATGTACTAAATGTATAAAAACGCTAAATAATGATATAAAAAAAAAAAAAAAAAATACAGTCCATAATTCCTGACCACTGGGGTTAGTTAAGTAATATCTCCGTTAGCCAGAATCCCTCAAACCCGGAACTCTCCGATAGCAGGAATTGAAATTTTCTTGGAAAATCATTCCCAAAGCTGGAATTTTCTAAAAAATTCCTGCTTTGGGAACGATTTTCTGAGGGGCACATTTTCCGGAAAATTCTGAGAAAATTTTCCTAATACAGCTCCTCCCCGACTTACAAACCTACTTGACTTACGACCACCCGCACTTATGACCTGCCCCAGTCTTACCAAAATTTTTTCAAATTACGTATTTTCGAGTCCTAACTTCAGTACACAGACAAAATTTTCATTTGTAATTCACTTTAAAATGGCTGGCAAGCTTAAAAGTGAGAGTTTTGTGGTGCTGAGAAGAAAAAGAGACACCCATTTTAGATTTTCTAAGTATTATTTAAGCATTTTCGACTTAAGACCATTTCGACTTACGACCTGGATTTGGATCCCTAACCCAGTCGTAAGTCGGGGAGGAGCTGTACCCGGAAAATTCCGGGGATGTGAGAGTTTTTTCTGGGTTTGAGAGATGATGTAATGGGCAATTTTTGGAACTTCTGAGAAAATTTTTCCGTTACCCGGAAAATTCCGGGGATGAGGGATTTTTCCAGCTTTGAGAGAGTCGTCTCGTTACACAGATATCTCTCATTCCTGGAAGTGCTTTGCACCAATTGTTCCTGCTAACAGGGATATCACTGTACAGACTTTTTCCTGTGAAAAAGCCACAATTTTGAGCAGCATATTACTGTAGTCACTTTGTACTCAAATGTACTACACCAAAAGACTAAAATTTTTATCTCTTGTGCAAACTATGCGATGTTTATATTCAAATTAAGTGCTAACTTGCAAAGATTCTAGCAATGTAAGTTATATTCTGCTAAGTCTAGTCTGAGACATTTTATAAGATAAAACCTTCAAGCCTAAAACTACCTTCACCCTGGCAGGGAGGAGGGGGTAGGGGGGGAAAGGTGTTGACAGCCAGATGGGGAGATTACCTAGTGCGTAGTCATCAGTCAAATAGAGGGAGTTTAAATTTTTTGCTTTTGCCCATGGACCTAAAATGTTCTTTGCTCTATTTTGGGAATGCTTCTGGGAGGCTTCTTAGCCCAGAACCCCCAAATTTTTTGTTCGAATCTTCCAAAATCCGGATTTACCGGGTCTGGATCTTCGAGGGTTCACTGTATAAACATAACTTTCTTCATATTTTTTTCATTCAGTTACATGCACACACAATCCTACATACAAAATAAGAAAAAAATATCATGAGGTAAAAAATATAAAGGGAATAAACATATCTTCGTGCACCAGTGAGAGTTAGCAGGATGAGATGGGGCAGTTATGTTATGATTATTTTTCAGTTCATAGTTTTGGATAGGTAAACTTTAACTTTCTTCACTTGTTTTTTCACTCAGTTACATGCACACTCAATCCTATATACATATTGTGCAAAAAAAGTAAAAGAAATAACTCTCATAAGGTCAAAAACATAAAAGGAATAAACATTTCTTTGTGTGTGAGAGCGGGGAAGGGAACGTTGCTAAGGGTCGGCAGAGGTCACTGGGGTGGTTGCTAAAAGTTTTACATATTCCAGAACATTTGCGATAAAAATTTTTGGGACCTAATTAAATTTTCCATCCTTTGTATTTGCTGAGCATCTTTGTGGAGGCTTCTAGCAACTGCCCCAAAGAGGTGTAGGCCTCTTGCCCAATAGTAATGGATGGATCATGGCCGAGTCAATATGTACTGCATCCACTCCTGTGTAATGCCCCAGGCAAAAGGAAATTGATTTTGGGAGACAAGGATGACCCTGACATGTGTAAGTGAAGATTGTGACTTTCATCAAGATCTGAGTAGTGAATCTCAAGAATTTTAAGGAAATTTGAGTGAAGAGGATAAGGAATACCGGTATGCTGGTGGTGGTGTGGCAACTTTCACCAATGAGGCTTCCACACGGGATTGGAGTGATTCTCAGATTATTCCTTCAATTGTGCCAATCAGGAGTTTAAGGTCAAATTAAAATGTATATTATGTTTTTTCATTGTTCAATATTCCCCTGTTCTGTAGGATTTGCCACCACCATCCTCAGAGGGTTAAGATTGTAAACTGTCTCCTATTCACATACAGCAAAATGATTTTCTTGAATTTTTTATTAGTTTTATTAGGTACCAGTTTTTTCAGACTCCAGGCCAACTAATTTCTAATGGATTTTCTACTGCAGATTTATTTTGTAAAGGACAGGATAAATACTTACTGAATTTGGCCTGACGATCCTCTTCTAATTCATCATCACTAATTTCTTCAAGATGGGTCTCTTCTTCATCTTCCAGTAGATCTAAAATATATCACCACAGGGAAATCATAACACTTATCTGTTTATTAATGCAGTATAGCACCCTTAAAATAGGCCTTGAATCAATCTTATCTCTAAAAAAAGAAAAAGAGAATCCTTAATGTGTATTTAATTGTATTCTCACAAGCTATTACTAAAAATGCCATTTCACATTCACTGCTTCACCCAATTCTTTATTGCTAAAGTTTCAGTTGATTAGCTTCAAATAATCGTTTTTTCTTCTACATTAACCAAAAATTTATAGGATTTATGTCATTAATAATGCTAAACATTTGTCTTCCAAAAGCAACCATCAAAATATGAAATGGTAGTTGATGAAGAAAACAGTAGGAAGTAAAACTCACCATCATATGAAGGGCCAGTTTCACGACTAAGATTCCTTGGATCCTAAAAACACAAAGAATGATTTGCATATAATGAATTGAAGAGCAAAACATAATCTTAATATAATAAGTTGTATACACAAGAAAAACATCTTAGTGAGCTATGTGAAAAAAATAATTATAATACTGTAACTACCTTGGTACAGTATTACTAATTATGCATTACTTCAAATATTTATTCACTGCTACAAGTTCTTATACAGCACCATTCATCAACAATCCAGCAGTAGTAAGAAGAATTAAAGTGTACCAAAACAAACTCTCTAAGCTAGGAATACAGTAAGTACTGTACTATACTGTACCTCAATCTGAGTGGTGTTCAAGTTTCGGCTGTCTTCATCATTGAACCCTCCAACCTGCCAAATATGAATTGCTTTGTATAAGACAAATACAGTAAGTGTTTACTTTTGTTAAAGACACAAGTAATAAATTTACTTTATACCTAATCACCCAATGTTCAATGGTTTCTCTTTTCACTTAAACATATAAAAGATAGAGTAAGGAATCCTGAGCTGCTATTTAAGAGTTAAGGAGTCAAGATCGAGTGGGGAAAGCATAAGACCTTTTGTCTTCAACATAATTAAACATACTTTAGACCAATGCAATTCAAAATATATGCAGATTCAGTAGCCCATATGGTTTTTCATTATGAAACATTCCACTCAAGAAGGTGGCATTCCAAGAAGGCAAAAGGCATTCAAAATAGATATGGCACACGGGCTAAGTGGTCAACTATAATTCTCAGGTTGGACCTGAACCTCTACTTTACCTCCTGATTAAGAATGTCATCTACATCATCACTAATATCACTAAAGGTGTCCTTTTCCTGTAGTGCTGTATCAGCTTCAGCAGCTGCTGGTGCAGGTGACTCTGTTCGCCGTCTCTTAGGATCTGATTCTTCTTCAACCTTGTCCTCAGAAGGCCCTCTCTTTTTTTCTTCTACAGTACCAGTCTCACTCTCTGGTGGTATAGACACTGTTCAAAGTTAGTATGTGAATCTATGATTTTTAAAATACAGTGGTCCCTCGATTAACGAACGGTTCAATTGACAAAATTTTGGTTAACGAATTAACTCCCATAAGGATTTTCAGTTCCATTAACGAACAAAACTTTGATTAACGACAGCCTTATGAGAAACACACTTTGTTGTGCACATCAGCTGATCGGCTAGTCCGTTAATACAGTAATTGGTTCTATGTTTACATTGGTCTAATTGGTTCTATGTTTACATTGGTCATTCTGAAATTCAGTTAACATATTGATAATATACAGTGCAAAAATTATTATGATACATGAAGAAGGCATTAGAACTAATGCACTCTGTACAGAATATGGCATGTCATCGTCGACTGCCTCTACAATCAGTTGTTTGATATGTAAACAAAGCTGCCGGGAATACGACATACACACCTCAAAGTAAATTAAAATATAGTATTCTTTTGTTTTTTATTTATTATTGTACAGTATACTGTACAGTACAGTACTGTATTTAGTTTATATTTAAAGTTTTGTTAATTCTATTACCGGTATACAGTAGTGTGTGTGTATACTTTTTCTGTGAGTTGGAACCAATTACCAAATACAGTGACCCCTCCGTTAACGAACTCAATCCGTTCCAGAAGGTCGTTCGTTAACCGAAAAGTTCGTTAACCAAAACCATTGTTTCAATGGGTTTTTGGGTAATTGGTTCCAGCTCACCGAAAATTTCCTAAATTCAACAAAAATGGTAGAAAAGTTCACTTACTTTGAGGTGTGTATGTAGAAGGCTCCTGGATGATGATGATGATGATGATGATGATGATGATGATGATGATGATGATGATGGGATTTAGAATGGGGGTGGAGGAGAAGGAAAAAGAGAAGGCATTGGGGTGGAAGAGAAGTCACCCCATGGCGCCATTTCACCCATAAAATTTTAGTTCTCTTGGTGTATTTCAAGATTATTTTCTTTAAATCAACACTACACTGCATTATATATTGTCAATATGTAAAATATATTTCAAAATGACCAATAATTTGCTTGGAAACACAGAAAAAAAGCGTTTAGTTGAAGAGAGTCTCAAGCAAGATGTTACCTCCAGTGAAAACAGAGAGAGACTAACGCCTGTTTGCTGTGTTAAGAGGCTGGATGCCGCGCATTAAACTAGTCACTTTACCTTCAGTTATGTTCAATAATTGTTAAAATGACTAAAAAATTGAATATTAACCTTTTAAAATTATTGAATAGTATAAACTTCTTGATATTTACTAAAATAGTAAGGAATTTAAGCCCTAGAACCAATTAATGTATTGGCGGACTGATACTAAAGCTGGTTGCCCGGTCAGTGCAAGAGAAAACATGTTGAGGTCGGTTCGTATGAACTTCGTTAACCGAATTTTTTTTCGTTAACCGAATTGAAGATCCTTATGGAAGGCAGTTCGTTAATCGAAATTAAGTTAACCGAGGTGTTCGTTAAACGAGGGGTCACTGTATCCCATTGAAATAATAGATTCAGTTAACAAAATTTTCGGTTAACAACTGACTCTGTGGAACCAATTGTGTTTGTTAATCGAGTGCATTTTATACCATTATTGTTACTAGACATGCATACACACTAATCCTTAATTACAATTCATAAACAACACTCACACATTCTAAACTCAATTTAACATGTCCTTTGTCTTCCTATATTGTTAAAATTATTTATCAAAGTTATATAATAACATGACATACTTAAACTTCAAAACTGTCATTGCACAAGGCACAAGCAAAGTGCCTAACTGGGATAAACATCCTCTACAGTAGAATTCCGATAGTTTAGCATCTGATAGTTCATAAATTCCGATGGTTCGGCATCAGGCCAAAATAGTCCTATACTTAATGATATTTTATTTGCAGGTACAATATTTATTTATTTATTATTACAGTGTACTGTATTGTGTTACTTTACTCTACAAGTGTATTTATAATACATGTACACCACCGATTTTCTGGCACCCTTGGTTCCAAAGCCTTGCCAGATAATCCGTTTTGCCAGGTCAGGTAATAATAATTCAACAATACATTCAAATGTACTGTACTACACAAGACTAAATTTTTTATCTCTTGTACAAACTGTGTGATGTTTAGACTCAAATTAATCCCTATATTACAAGGATTCCAGCAATGTAATTTATATTCTGCCAAGTCTAGTCTGTGACATTTTATAAGATACAAACTTTAAGCCTAGACTGCCTTCACCCTGGCTGTGAGGAGGGGGAGGGGAGATAACAAAGTGAGTAGTTATCAAAACAGAAGGAGTTTTAGTTTTCTCTTATAAAATGTCACTGAACTGACTTGGCAGTACAGTATATAAGTTGCAATGCTGTAATTCTTGTAAGATATTGATTAATTTGAGTATAAACACCACACAGTTTGCAATAGACATAATATTTTTAGTAATTAACATATTACAGGTTTACCCTTAGGACAATTATTTCTTTTACTTTTTCCACAATATATATTTAGGATGGTGTGTGCATGTAAATGAGTAAAAATAACTGAAGAAACTTACATATATCCTCCCAAAAATATGAGTTAAAAAACTTGTACTCAAATGTGATGTTTATACTCAAATTAATCACTATCTTACAAGGATTTCAGCATTGCAAATTATATACTGTACATTTTATAAGATAAAAACTTTAAGCCTAAAGCTACCTTCACCCTGGCTGGGAGGGAGGGAGGTAAAAAAGTGCCCCCTCATAATTTTGTCTGGACTAAAGGAGGTGCCAGACCATCAGTTCCCAGATGATCGGTGGTTTACCTGTAGTACTAGAGCACGGGCATTTTAAATTTTTAACACCTTATCTCATTTAAAAATTGTCAAGTTTTGGTTTAACTATCTTCGACACACTTGAAAAAATTTGGGAGGGAAGTCAGAAAAACTTAGGATTCTATGCTCCAAGTGCGCATCTTTACAAGACTCTTACGTGGCTTAGAAATAAAGAAAATATACTCTAAAACTATAAAATATGAAAAATAAAGAGCATGGGTGTGTATGTGTGGGAAGTGAATGTATGTACTGAGGCAGTGAGCTGTAACTGGGGCCAGCCACACTCTCCCTGCCCCCTATGTGACATCACAGAATACAGGCAGCAGCTACACGCGTCTCTTGACTCAGGAACGTATTGCTGTCGTAAGTTGGGGACTGCCTGTACTGTATTTCTGAACTCACTACTCTAAATAAACTTCTCTCCAGTGCTATGATAATCTCTATTTTGGGTCCTTCATTCATACTGAATTATAATTCTCCCCTGAAAGGAGGAAGTTAAAACCACAATTCATTAGCATCTAAAATTATTTTCAATAGCAATGGAAAATTCAATGTCATTCATTATCCCTAACTGTTAGAATAACATCACATCCCTGTTCCAGATATAGTGAGACAAGGATCTGTTTATACAACTGAGTACAGTCCACAATCTTATCATCCTACCTTCTGGTGGTACTTCTGTTGCAGGTTTCTCTTTCTTGGCTGGTGAATCTCTGTCAGCTTGAGGGGGAGCATCAGCAGCCCTACGCACCCAAGATCCTCGACCTGGGTCGTATTCCCATAATTCGCCTGAAAATTTTTTTTAAATGCTGCTCTATAATTACAATAATGAATTCAATACCGAAACTTTTAAACTATTTATCATTAATGATACTAACAGCTTTCAAGAAAAGACTTATGAAATCATTACCAATGCCATATTAACTGTACTTTGCAATGCACTACACTGAATAAAATTTCAAATACAATACAGTACAGTAATGACTAAATAGTGTATGCAACTGTTCTAAATCACAAAATTATTTCTTATAATGACAATGTGAAAGAAGAGTTTTGCAAAATAATTCTTCACTGTTATTATCACACACCAGGGTACCTTGTGCTACACTTCTTTTGGACAAAAAAATAAGCTACAGGTATTTCAAAATTAAAATCACTCTGTACATTACATGCCCACTAACAATTGTTTTAAACTACAACAGTATTAGTTATAGCTGCAAAGGAATACTGACTCAGGAAACAAAACTTATAAGTTGCTGTGTGAAAGAAGGGTGTGAAAGAAGGAGTTTGATAGTTTTTATAATCTATTCCTGGAACTTTGTACATTATAAGAATGACATAAGGAAGCCTGTCTAGTAATTCCAGGACTCTGAAAAGGTTGCAAAATATAATAATTATGGCTGTGAGGATCAACAACCCCCCAAAAGTATACGAGGGAATGTATTACTGGTATTAAATCACAGCAGAGAAGACAGTAGGAAATTCAGCTGCTTGATGCTAACTTCTTAAAAAATTTAATCCTTCACTGAAACTGATGATAATCTGCCCCAATTATAAAAACACTTTCATAGCCATTTAGGAAAAAATCCATGTTCTTATAAATAAAAATGTAGCATTATTTTGAAACCTTCCCCAACAATTTCAAAAGCCATTAAAAATTTGAATAGCTTCTTGTGGATTATCCATGAAATCCCTTAATTTCAGGTCTTTTAACATTCAGATAAGAATATATGCATTAATTTAACAGCTCCTGAAAGAACCATGGTGTTGTTCTACAGAGCCTACATTATGATACAGTAATACAGTACAGTACTCCCGGATAAATCGCGGATGACACCCTGGATGTACCCAAGAATGTCTGCGGGTAGTTTTAAAGTAGCTGGCATTTTCGTAGCCAGGACAGGGAGCCATTCATTCTAGAAACAGTAATTTCCTATACCTGTATTGTATATATGTATGTATGTGTGTGTGTGTGTGTGTGTGTGTGTGTGTGTGTGTGTGTGTGTGTGTGTGTGTGGACACACAAACACACAAAACACATACAAATAAATAATAATGGGAAAATCCTCTCACAAATAATCAGAAATTTTTTTTTAAAAATGTTGAGTCTACTCTCAAGTCCATTCTGTACCTTTTATTAATAGAGCACACACACACATGCACATATATACAATACAGACAATACAGGTAAAATAAATAATTGTCCTAAGGGCAAACACATAAAGAGAATATACATTTCTCTATACACAAGTAAAAATGTACCCCCCCTCTCCCGGTCAGCAAATGTTATTCGCGGATTTAGCAATTCGCGGCCAGTTTGAGAACCTAACCCCTGCGATTTGAGGGGCATGCTGTACAGTACTAATGTAATTCTGCATTTATGATGTATAGATCTGCTAATATACAATACAAAAATTCACATGATAAAAAAGTCAAAGAAACATTTATAGTTTTCAATGCACAGTACATATGTATACTAGCAGTGGTGCCACCTGTTGCTCAAGAACCATTTCTTCAGTATCATAAAAAAGTAAATACTAACACTATAAAAATATGAAAATTAAAAGTACTAACCTATGACTGTGGTTGGATGCAGCGATAATTTATGGGTGATGCAGCTAAACAGGAGACAGTGAAATGTATGTCACTGTAGGTTAACTCAATAACTACATGCAAACTTTAAGACCCAAAATCGATGAAGCTGGACACACAGGGGGATTATCTTACCGTCATTACCAGGCATGAGTGCCTGGTCCTGATCCGAAGGTGGAGGACTTGCAACATCCCCACCTCTGGGAGGCACCAAGGCACTCTCAACACCCTCCTCCTCACTACTGGGAGGTCTGAGAAAATAAATATAAAAAGGTTAAGAAAACAACATTTCTTAAGAATATCTGGTGTTAATTAAAATTAAAAAAAATCTGATACTAGTGCAATTCATTAGAAAGTTGGAATCTTGGAAATAAGAAATCTGGAAGTCTCAGAAATATGGTGCTTGGTGTGTGTGTGTGTGTGTGTGGGGGGGGGTTAAAAATCAATTTGGTGCTGTTGTATAACTATTTTTTTTAAGGAAAACAAGTTTATCAGTAAATTCACAAATAGAGCAACAAAAACTGCCAAACAAAGTGGCAAAGGAGATAACAAAATCGGAATAACACATTTGGCTACTGTGATGTTTATGTGGTTGTGGCTGTTGCATCTGAACCCACTACTGAAATCCTTGCAGAAATAACTAAGGAAGGCATACTTCTAAGTAATTAATGTGATTAATGTTCAATTGTTTTATATTTACAGTATATTATTTTTTACTTCTTATCTATATACTACATACAGTCAATAATAATGGTATCCACACACCTATTACCCAAAAAGCGGAGTTCACCATTTTATTAAAAAGCCTACTTTCTGAATGTGAAAGTTCAAGAGTCAGCCACCTGATGGTGCCTTTGTTTGCTTTGATCTTGTTGGCACCAATCAAACTAGTTATCAGTTGTCCCAAGCCTTGCCTTGAAAATTGGATTATTCTCTTCAGAATGATGGGCAGAATTTAACATTGCATCAAAAAGTTCCTCATCAGGCACCATAAAGAAGAGAAAGTGAAAGGTGCTCAGTACTGACCCTTTTCTTTACAACTGTCAGAAAATCAATAATAACCTAACAGAAACGTACATTAAACTCGTGAGACATTAATAAAAAACTTCAGGAATTTTCCAATTAATTAAGCATAAAATGTCACTAGAGGAAGCACCACAGCAGGTCTCTGGATCTGGTGAAGGCATCACTAAATTCGTGATAGATGCTGTTCCTGCCAGGCCACCAAAAGCTTTGCCTTAGTTTGATATAATACAGTATCTTGTCCACTTTCACAGTGGCTTATTTCTCATGTAATGCTTTACCATACTAAGAAAAGTAAAGGAAATTAAGTACTGTACCTGATAAATAGAAAATAACAACATAATTGACTCAAATAGTTAGGGGAACAGCTAAGGTGGCAGATTAGTGTAGATGTCTATGTTTTGTAGTGTCATACAATAACTTTTATAGTACTGTACTGTATAATAACGCAATCATATCTATTGTAACATACCAAGCTCAGTACTTATCATGAATAAATGTTGAGTGTTGGGGATGTAAAGCGGTGACACTGGGGTGTTCTGGCCAAGCAGCAATAAGTATAAATATGAATTTTGGGTGAAAAAACATGTTAATATAAAGATACTCAAATAATAATAATAATAATAATAATACAGTAGTACCCTGATTTACGCGGTCAATTGAACCCATGGGGTACCGCGGAAAGTGAAAACCGCGTAAAGTGAACAACAGAACATATGGGATTAATTCCAATAGAGACTGGCCCGACCCCCAAACTCCACTTTTTCAGACACAATACCTACGTTGTAGTAAAAATTACACCTTAATTTTATGATGGTATGCACACACAATTAATAATTAAGAGAAATATCAATAATATTAGTTTTTTTAACACTTACATTAGTAGAAAAGATGGCTGGGCACACAGGGATGGGGGGTAGGTTCCGAGGCAGAGGGCAGATTATTGGCCCTCACCTGTATCACTTGTATCAATTGTATCACTATCCACCACATAGGCTTGCAGGGCCTCTTTGTCAAACCCCTCAAAGTCCCTCTTTGTCAAACCCCTCAAAGTCCATATAAGTCCATATCCTCACTATCACTGACTTGGGCCGGCTGTGGCGGGTGAAGAACTCGGTAATTTCTTGATGACTGGGCGACCTTGCGCGCATCCTGCCCGCGCCGCTTCCTGCGTATATGAGTAGATGCACCTCGTAAAGTGAAAGTCCGGTTCTGGCGAGGTACCGTGTAAATGCGAAATCGCGGAAAGTGAAACCGCGTAAAGCGGGGTATTACTGCATAAAAGTCCTATACAGTATTCGTTTATTATTTCTATGTGACTTGCATTGTGAAAAATCATGTATTAACAAGGGTTTACTATAAACACATGGAGTGATCAGACTACTGTCTGTCTTCGACGAGGTATGTAGTTGGCTGGACTGATGATTTTTATTACTGCAAATCCAAGATGGCCAGCAGTGACAAGGTTGTACATGCTATTGTGGTACTAGGATGCAGTTAGACTCTCAGTCTTTTTATCTATGTTCTTATTTCTTCATTAGGCCAACCTTTGTTCCCAAATCTCTTTTCCAGGAAGTTGGTTAAATAAGAGAAGGTCAGAAATTATTTAAACAGAATAATCTGTCAAAGTTCAAGGTCCACCTGGTTGTAACCTTGTCAACTTGAAGCACACAATAACAGGAGTCTCCTTAGAAATTACATCAGGCTATAAAAGGCAAATCTTCCATTGTGTGAATAACTAAATTTACAATGACAGTATATGACAATCTGACAGTTTAGGGGTGTCTACAGAGAATATTCACCACTAAGAGAATATTTTTTACAAAGGAGAAAGCTATCTAAAGACATAATCATAATGGGCCAAATGGGTACTGATATTTACCTGAACTCTCTTGACAAAGTTGGGTCGACAGATGAAGAAACAGCACTGTGAAGAGACAAGTGTTATAAACTGGCCAGTCATAGCCATGGACAATTGAGAACAGGGCAAAAGCAGTAAATATCATCATAACTAAGGCTGGTTCAAGTAATTAATTCAGTGTTTGACATGCTTGTAGATAGTCATTCTGAGCATTGATGAATACTTTTACTTCAGTATGGTGCTGCAGTATCTTATCACAAAACAGTATCTTGTACAGTGACTAAATCATAGTGTAACTTAGTACTGCACATATTAATATATTTTATAGAACAAGAATACTGTAACTGTCAGTTACAGAAAATGACCATGTATAGCTGTCCTCACTGGAAGAACAGAAGAATTTTCTTTATCATAGTAAAATCCTAAAGATTCCAGGTAAATGACCGCTTATATCAAGAATTAAGTCCTTCGTAAACATAAAACCAGGTAAATTTATTTCTTCTTGGGATTTAAGACCAGTGGTGAAGTCAGAAAGAATGAGAATAGGTATTATAATACTGTAAGTCATCAGCATCAACATTTTGACTATTTTCCACATTGCGCAGGTTAGCCGCCATCATCTGATGACACCTTCCCATGCTGCACGGTTTTTTGCAGCCTCTATCATCCGATTCTAAACTCTCAAGTTATTTCTTACAACCTCTTATGTTATTCTCGGTCTGCCCCTGGCTCTCCTCCACTCCATGTTTATGCTCGTGCCTCTCTTGACCCAGCAGGTCTTGTCCATTCTCTCCGCATGCCAAAACCATCTCAGTTTGCCTCTATGCAAAATTTCACCAATACAGGAATACCTCGCTATTTGCAATGCCGCTTATCTGCAATTGATATTTTAACACCCCTATTCAATATTCGCAAATTATTCCCCACTTATTCACAAATTAAAAATTACGATATCCCTACAGTCATACAGTATTTCAAACCAGGCACGCTAGTTGCAGCTCTCTTATTCTGCTGTAAGGCCGACTTCACACGAGCATTTTTTCCACACGTACGGACCTGGTGGTTCTAGAAATTAATGAAATTCGCTGGGACCATTCACGCTGCACACACACATGAAAATTCATGTGCGGAAGACAGTCACTCCACGCTTATACAGGAGGTCCTCGCTTATCGTTCTTGTAAAATATAACATTAACGGGATCAATTTCCCCCATAGGAAATAGATAAAATACGCTAGTTACGTTCCCCAGCCTCCCTTTGCCCCAAAAAATACACTACATACACATAAATTCAATGGAAATTTTATAGAAAATATATATCATACATCCAAAAAGATAAATAAACTAAATTAATGTTTAATCAATAAGATAATATACCATAATCACTTTGTATTGTACTCACTGATGGGCAGAGGCAGAGCGAGTGTGTGGTGGGTAGTGGAGAGGAGGAGAGTGGAGAGTCATTGAGACCCGGATAGGGGCTCCCCTTCCCACTCTGACCGAGGTTCCCCCTTGGCTAGCATCACCAACACTTGATGGGCACTTGGGAGCCATTTTGAATGGTTACAGTACAGTATTTATAGCAAAAACACTTGAGCACGCACGTACTGGGAAGAAAACGCTTGGGGATGCTGTGATGCTCCGCGAGACAGCGTAATACACCAAGATGACAGAGGGTGACGCACCATACAAAGTAGTCCGTGTTGGGTGACAACGTTATAACGAATCGGTCGGGTCGTAAAACAACGTTGTCAGAATCATGGGTATCTACAGATTAGCAACATTATAACGAAACAACGTTAAGCAAGGACCTTCAAACCAAAGCATTTGTATTCTTTCAATTTCCACTCTCTCCTCAAAATATGTGCCCTCTTCTTTTTTTTGCACCTTTAAAGCAGCACGTCACACACAAGCATCTTGTGGTGCAGTGCAAATTCTTCTCCTGCCATAACCATTACATCCCCAACAAGCTTCCTATCTGATCTCCTGATGAGAATGTTGTCAATTTGGGATTTTGTGCCACCTGATTCATATACAATCAGGCTACTGACACTATTCTTAAATAGTGTACATTCAACCAAGTTCAGGGTTTTAAATATTATAATTATGAGTATGGTAGAGTATGGAATCCATTGATCAAAAGAGTTTGGCAAAGAACCAAACATTCTTGCTGAACAGACTCACTGTGATGAGGCTAATTCCTTATATATACAACCTTCCCAGAACAGTTTGAGTATAGTATAGCAGATGAAGTGCTTTTCTATAAAAAGGTGTGAGAATAATAGTAAAAAATGAGAAAACTAACTGCAAAGGTGTCTCCTAGTGTTATGTCACAGACTAGAGAGGGGCTATTGTCTGAGGCCTCAGGTAAAACAGGAAAAGGGCAGCGAGAGGATTTTGGAAGATTACTCTCTCTTTTATCTACATTAGAAGTCTTCTATGGTAGTGATGTCAAGGTGACTATGGGTAGATGATTTACCTCACTAGAATTTCATGGCTGTGGTAGACACATAGGTCAGCATCTACCCCCATGTTCCTATAATGACCATGAGACAGTGCCTCTACTAATATACACCAGAATCTTTATTTCAAAGTTTTATTGAATCTACTTTAACACTATTTTCTACCTCAAGAGAATTACCCTGTATTCATATGTATTCTCTGCCCACTATACAGATATGCAGTAACCAAGTATACACCACAGGAATAGCATGTGATGTGTAACTTACGGGTGATGACGACCACCAGAAGACGGGGGAGGTTCTATCCCCTGTTCTACAGGCTCCCGACGAGGTCTACGCACTATGGGTGGTTGTTGGCTACGGTCTCCCCGCCCGATAGACAACGGCTGAGGAGCAGGGTGTCCAAGATCACGGCTCCCTGAGTATGCTGGTGGTCCACAGTCAATCCATTCACCCTCTCTACTTCCCCAATCATCTCTATAGCTCCTTCTGTTCGATTAAAATTATTAATGGTTTCAAAGTCTATTCTACAATTATTTTCAAAATGTTTTATACAATATAAAGATATTCAAAATTATATTCCTATCTTTATTCACTACTGTTTCATAAAAACACTAAATCTATACCGTGCACTCTTTATAGTCACTCTTCCGGCATATTCCTGCGTAACATTCTTAAACCATACAACTAATCACATGTTCCATATATCATGTAATTAAGTCATTTATATCTCATGCAGTCTACCTGTCCTCTCCCCTCTTTTAGTTGCAAGCCATATCAACACAGCAGCCTCAGTGCTCTGTTTTGCATGTCAGATCAACATAATCATAACAACATTTGTCACTATTAACTTAAGATATCAGAATGGATGTCTGCATATAAAACAGTGATAAACTATATCACATTTTATTCTTTCCACGAATTGATAAAGGAAAAACCAACATTGAATAAATGAGAGATATATATATACAGGGTATATATATATATATATATATAAAAACTGATTGGCCAAACTGTTGAAAAAGCAACCTTGGGTGTTGGCTCCACTGGTCCTGGTGTAGGGAGGCAGGTCCAGCCCTGTCCCCTACCCAATCATGAGCTTCTTCTCCCCACTCAGCCACTCGACCACTGCTTCCAGCACCACCTCTTCCGTATTCTTCTGCCCATTCCTCATGCCTAATTTAAATTATGGAAGAAAATAAAAACTAATAGTGCAACTATTAAAAATAATCACAAAAAGTAGATAAATATCCTACAAGAATGAAAATTTAAGACATTCAGCCTAAACAGTAGTCCTCAACACAATGTTCAACACAGTAGTAAGATTCTTTATGCCCTAGAGAAAATTTCAGCCTGTTAGTCATAAAATGGAAAACAACCCATTATAAATACATTATGATTGCCAGTCATACCATGATAATATATACTGTAACCCCAATACAGTGGTGTAAAATAATTTGAGAAAGACAAGGCAGTTTATCTATGTTGCATAAATATGCAGAGTAATTCATTAGATAATAAAGGACTGATGCTGAATGATGATCACATAGGGATTGAGCAACTCATGACATTGTTTCAGCAATTCTGTGATTGATGCCCAGGGTTCCCAAGATAACTAACTTGTGCGACTGGAATTACACTCCAAATATCGACAAACCCAGATATAGTATCTCCCTAAACTCAACCACAGCCCCTAAACAGTCTCAGCATCCTAAGAGAGGAAGGAAGGAACTAAATATCCTAGTACAAAAAGTACAAAGTTCTGAAGCTAAGAATAGCCAACCTTACCTAAAAATGACAAGCATAAAGTTATAAAAGAAAGATGAATGGAGAGAAAGAGAGCAGAAGTAATTGTAGGTATACAGTGGTTAATGTGTAACATGATTAGGCTAGTGGTATGCTTGCTAAACTATCTTTACTCGGCCCTTCACAACTATCATTTGGCTGAAAATTAATAAGCTATAAAATATTCACAAATGAAAGCTGTAACTATCCTAAAACTGTATTCATTGGATTGGCACAACTACTTAATAACATTTCAAAAACATGTCTGCATTTTCACCTTATTCCTAACAGAAGAGAATAAACTCCAATCAGAGAAACCTTGAATGTTTCTTCAAGAAAGATTAGTGGCTGAAAAAATATTCAAACTTATGAACACTGAAAAACCTTGAATGTTTATGACGATCCCAAGCTACTGGAGGACGACCACCGGCCCACTCTGGCTGGTGACGGTGACGGGGAGGTGGAACATGAGGGGGAAAGTGATCACTGCGATCCATGCGTTCCAATCCCCGGTGCTCTTCCACCCAAGCATCATGAACTCGAGGGTCTATGCTGCTGCCACTCCTAGTGTTATACATTATTTGGTGGGATGATTTTCCATTTTTAACAAATGTGTACAGGGTATATAATGGTGCAATTACAATAAGTGATTTGTATGCTATACATAAGAACAATACAAAATCACGGGTACATACAAATACTGTACAGGAATAGCGGTTGTGTGGTTATTGTTCTCCACTGGTCACAGGTTCAAATCAACACTGAGGATAATCTGATATCCAGTCTTATTTAATTATGATACACATTACAATTCTTACCGCCTGCGTTCGTCTGGAAAGCGTGCATCAATGAGTGGAGCTCTGCGGTCAGCACGACGGTCATCAATTGGTGGTATTCCGTGTCGTTCATGAAGAGGTAATTCTTCATAACGACTGCGTCCACTCTCATAACGAGCACGTTCTCGTTCACCTGGATATTATGATGAACGAAAATTAACATCATCAAACATATTAACATATCCACAACCTGTTACTTGTGCATGGTCTAATAAATACTGTATATACCTATACAAGTACTAGTGAACAAATTAACTTTTTAAACTTCAAAAATTCCCTCTAAAACTATGGGTCGACTTATGTTCCAGAACTTTATTTGAAGCTTTATTTCCAGCTGAAATTCCTGGTGAATAATGTCCAAATTGACAAGCAGAAACAATCACACAAAGTAGTTGGCCATGATTTTGAATCAGCTGTTTTGGTGTTTATATTTTTTACAATACAGTAAACAATTTATAAATTTACACACAGTAGTTTGAATAATATGGATGAAAGACCATTTAATAATAATTACTATGGTGATGCCAGCATGTACTGTACTGTTATACTGTATATACTGTACAACTACCAACAGGAGTAATGTTCCACCCCCTTGGTGGCAATTCTGTACAAGTAGCAATGTTGCAATGATGGGCAAAAGACGAATTAACATCAATTACAACAGTGAATTATTTATAACAGGGCCAATGAATGTAAGCGGATATACGGAAAAAAAATGCCTTAGTAGTGAAGTCATAATGAAAGGAATGCTATGTACAGTAATGTGATATGCTGCAAGAGTGCTTCGATTCATGAAAGGGATATGCTCCTAAAAAACTTTCATAAATTTTAGCCATTTTTCTCATTGACTATCATTATATAAAGGGAGATACGTTCCTATAGTAAAAAATATCCCTTAAAGTAAAATATAGACTTTTAAGTAGATTTTTGTGGGAAACACAATATCAAGATTATCGAGTGTATCACCTTCATTATTTACGAATTTTCGTAAATTGAAGCACTCTTGTAACTGCATATGTTTCATATCACTCATCATACAACAACCTGGATGTATACTGAACTGTAATTACATGCCTCCAGATTGTTGTACTGCTTTGCATTATATATTATGTACAGAGCAATCACAAAACTACTGAGTTTAAATATAAATACACTATATATAAAGGAAATAAGAAAGCTGCAGTGTGCTTAGTTCAAATACCAAGGTAAATAAAAATAATGTAGAAAACTAAATAAGTGGTGATTGCATGTGTACACATATCTAATTTGTACCACTGGAAAACTAATATTGTGATAAATCACTAAAAAGGTAGTTTAGGGAATTATGCTTGGCACAGTCAAGGTAACAAGTACCTGTAGATAATCAACACTACAGGGGTAGACTTACAGGATGAGTATTGGCATAAACATGAAATTAGAGCTGAAAATTTTGGGGTTGACCAATGTGTCAGAACGACTTGTATGCCGGTATATACTGTATTGTACCTACTGTTATACTATAGGGCCAAAAATATAGTTAGTAGCGTTGATGTTATAATGCATTACTGTGTTTCAACAAATTAGATCTTTAACTGTATGTTACTGATTAATAAATACACAAGTCATCAACCTCCAAAAATTAATTGATACAATCTCTGGTTGGTTAGTGGTCATAAATTAAACAAGTTAAGTAGCATCAACAAAAATAATAAGGGAGCCCTAGAAAACACTGATAATTTCATATACCATATTGTACATATCAATATCAATTGTGGTTAAAAAGATTTTTTTCTATCTCTTGTTCATTTAATATAATTAGAGAAGTTGTTACATATAGAGCTGATCTTGCAAATGCAGAATATAACTAATAATTTTCAGAACAACAAAAACTCCAAAAAAGGATCATGAAATTAACGTACTTTGAAATCTATCATAAGCTGGATCTTCATATGGCCGTCGTTCATCAACAGGAAGGACTCTAGCATCTAACTCAGGACGAACTCTGGGGGCATAGAAGTCTCTTTCTCCCTCAAATTCTCGGCCACTTCCACGAACAACCACTTCCCTCTCTCTGCCAAAATCGTGCTCTCGACCATAACGACCTTTTAAATAAAATAAAAAAGATAATTTATTAAAAATTCTAGTGATGATAAAAAATATTTACTCACTTCTCACAGTTAGATAAAAAAAGCATCCAAGGCCAAATACTTAACAAAACAACAAACTTACACATATGAAGAAAACAAAAAACTCAACAACTCCAACTACTGTACTGTATAATCCTTGTTGCAAAATGATTGGTGGTGGCTGGAAACAAAGGGATTAAGTACTATATATATATACATCTAGAATACTCACTCCTACGGTCATCAACTTCTCTGATCCTTTCTCTCTCCCTCTCTTGTTCTCGCTCCAGGATCTCAACCCGTTCTCTCTCCTTCAGCAACTCTCTATCTCGTAATAATTCCCTTTCTCGCAACTCCCTCTCCCTAAGTTGCTCCCTCTCTCTCTCTTCTCTTCTTGGGTCTTCTCGTCGTCTCTCATCATAATGTTCACGTTCGTGCCTGTTTAATCACATGGGTTCGGTGTTCATATTGCTCAGTGTGATTTGCGAAACTTAAATTTATATTACTTGATATGTCAGTAAGATAAAGTTGGTAAAAATATACATATAAGACTAAAACAATAATACAATAATTCCAGGATAGAATAAGTGAAGCAGCTAGAGATATCATGTAGTTTATTTGCAAGATTTATTGTATCAACAGAAAATGAACATATCCTACTAACTTTCAAACAGTTTTCTTATCATATAACTATACAACATGATAAAAAGATGCTATGAAATTAACCTTTAAGTATTGTTAAACTAATAATATCAATAACTTCTTCCCTCCATAAACTCCCCATGAGACCATCCCTCCTAGAGCTCCCCCTTGACTTTGTCTTTTTGGAACTCCTCTCAAGGACATCCCACTAAGAACTTCTCTTCAGGCCATTCCTCCAGAATCTCTCCTTGAGGTCAACTTTCCATATCAAGACTGAAAATTTTACTCATGACTTATTACTGATCAAATGCTTTACTCAAGAAATCCAACTCCAATTCTTAGTGGCCTGTGGTCATACTTAACTTTAAACTGATACCATTCACCTTTTAAAACCATCAGCCCTTCAAAGCAATCATTCAACTAAAACAACTGGTAGATATAAACAGAGGCAGTTAATGGCGAATGCTATGTGTAATTTAAGAGAATTACAGTATTTTACCTTTCATAATCTCTGTGTCTGTGGGTCTCCTTTCTCTCCACCTCACGAGACCTTGTTGGTGCAGGTGAGCGGCGCTCTCGTCGTGGCTCTACGAATTCCTCTAAGCGATCCTTCTCATACCTTTGTTAACAAAAATAAGTATCAATCACATCAAAGAATTATGTAACAAAACATATTACAATTACAAGCGTTATATAACCTTTAACTATATTTTCTACTTTTATGGACTAAAGTCAAATTAGGGAGACTTTAGGTGGAATAAAGTGCAATTCGACAAAAGTCGAATAAGGCAACATATAGGTTCAATTAAAATTACCTGAAACGTTCTCGTCCCATTTGTTCAGGTGATATTCGACGAACACGTTCATCCACTCTTGGATCTCGATTACGTGATGAAGAACCAGCATGTGATACAATGCTTGCATCACGTCCATGACTAAGAGCCCGTTCTGGCAGTCCCATACGATCACTTCTGTAGTCTAAACGATCTCTTGGGGAACCAGATCTTTTCCTGCCTGCAATGATGAAAAATAAGATTTAAGTCATTCTATCTCCTTCCTTTGTTTACATTAGCTACAATATTTGTATTTAGCAATACTGGCAGACTGAACAAACACAGTTTCTAGCAAGCAGCTGGAACCAACCTTACCATAGTAACCAAACACACTTGTGAATGTGCATTATTATAAAAAGCTTAAATCAATTAGCTAAACCTTTGTTCTCTTCATTCTCTGACACCTTGGCTTCTACCTGAACAAAAGAATCATTTCTACAAGGTAGAAAGCCCACCTGCTTTTCTACTTTCAAGCTACATTTTTTGAACTCACCAATCTTCCATTAATCATACTTGTTTCTAAAAGTAAGACTTCTCTACATAGCACAGTGTCATTCATCAAGGTATTGTACGTGAGTGGTTAATGAAAATGGTACAGTATTCACAAGTACTGACGGAGAATGTTAACTCTAAAAATATTTGTTTGTTTGTTGATATTATTTTGCACCAATGAATTTATCTTTAATGGAACATGTATGAAATAAGGAACTGTAAGTGCTTGTAAAATGGTTGCCAATGTATACTTAAAATTACCATAATTGGTTTAATCTTTTGCCCCAGGAAACACTCCCTGGATCTACTGGGTATTTGGATCTTTCCAACTAAACTCTCCCTCCATTGGGACTACTGAGTGTTTACTGTAATTCTATAAAGTAAATACATATACGGCTTACATAACTATGAAAATCATTATGATAATCAGTAATTTGGATTTTGCCATTTTAATATTAAATAACAAAAATGAAATGTATGAATATATAACTTTTCTATATCTAAAACAATATCAAACACAGTATTAAAAAAATTTACGCCATGCTGTATATAAATTTCACTACAACTCCAACAATATTACAAATGTAAGTCTAAGTAATGTTTCCTTTAACTTGCTGAAGTCAGCACACACAGGTAATCCATAAGGACAGTAAGCCCTTCATATTCGCAGGAGTTAAGTTCTCAAAATGATCGCGAATCGCCAAATCCGTGAATAACATTTGCTGACGGGGGGGGGGTGTTACATTTTTACTTGTGTACAAAAAAACGTATAGTACATGTATTCCCTTTATGTGTTTGCCCTTAGGACAATTATTTCTTTTACCTGTATTGTATACGTACGTGCGTGTATAGACACACACACACAAAACACATACAAATAAATAATTATGGGAAAATATTCTCACAAATAATCAGAAACAAATCTATTAAAAATGTGAGTCTACCCTCAAGTCCGTGCTTTATTACTTTATTTATAAAGCACGGACTTGAGGGTAGACTGTCACATTTTTAATAAATTTGTTTCTGATTACTTGTGAGAGTATTTTCCCATTATTATTTAATTGTATGTGTTTTGTGTGTGTGTGTGTCTACACGCATGCATGCACACACACACACACACACACACATATTTGCAATACAGGTAAAGGAAATTACTGTCTCTAGAATGAATGGCTCCCTGTCACAGCCACGAAAATGCCGGCAACTTTAAGACTACCCGCAGACATTCTTGGGTACATCCAGGTGTGTTATCCGCAAATAATAGAGTACAGCGAAATAAAAATTCGTGAATTTGGGGGGCCCCCCTGTAAATACCCAAAGGTATAATCTTGTATAAAAGCTGTCTACTCACTCTTACTCCTCTTTGACCTGCCAGGAGAAAGCTTGTGAACTTTGCGTGAAGACGGGGATGGAGTGCGCTTGTGTCCTGGGGAGAGGAGTTTCTTAGACATGGAACTTTTCCTTCGAGTTGGGGAACGGCTACTTTTATGAATGCGAATCTTCTCATGGTCCTTCTTGCTTGGGTGACTCTTCTTGCCATTCTTACTACTACTATGCTTTCTCCTGTTAAAAGAATTTTACAAATATAAATATTCAGTCCATTATCCAAGTTACCTGCTGCTACATTACAGTGACCCCTCGTTTAACGAAATTTCGGTTAACGAACTGCCTTCCATAAGGATCTTCAATTCGGTTAACGAACAAAAATTCGGTTAACGAATTTCTTACGAACCGACCTCAACACGTTTTCGCTTGCACTGACCGGGCAACCAGCTTTAGTATCAGCCCCCCAATACATTAATCGGTTCTAGGGCTTAAATTCCTTACTATTTTAGTAAATATCAAGAAGTTTATACTATTCAATAATTTTAAAAGTTTAATATTCAATTTTTTAGTCATTTTAACAATTATTGAACATAATTGAAGGTAAAGTGACTAGTTTAATGTGCGGCATCCAGCCTCTTAACACAGCAAACAGGCGTTAGTCTCTCTCTGTTTTCACTGGAGGTAACATCTTGCTTGACTCTCTTCAACTAAACGCTTTTTTTCTGTGTTTCCATGCAAATTATTGGTCATTTTGAAATATATTTTACATATTGACAATATATAATGCAGTGTAGTGTTGATTTAAAGAAAATAATCTTGAAATACACCAAGAGAACCAAAATTTTATGGGTGAAATGGTGCCATGGGGTGACTTCTCTTCCACCCCAATGCCTTCTCTTCTTCCTTCTCCTCCACCCCCATTCTAATTCCCATCATCATCCAGAAGCCTTCTACATACACACCTCAAAGTAAGTGAACTTTTCTACCATTTTTGTTGAATTTAGGAAATTTTCGGTGAGCTGGAACCAATTACCCAAAAACCCATTGAAACAATGGTTTCGGTTGACGAACTTTTCGGTTAACGAACGACCTTCTGGAACCGATTGAGTTTATTAACCGAGGGGTCACTGTACTAATTTTAAAGCATGGGTGGAACAGGTAATGAGCATCAGTGGAACTGTGACTGTGAAAGAACTTTAAACATTTCCAAATTAAGATTCCAAGAGACTCTTACCAATTGGAGATCTGTTTTTCACGCCACTTGCATCCCCACATGCACACACGCCAAATTTGTTTTCCAAACATTCTGTTAATTTTGATGTTAACATCGACACTCTCTCTCTCAAATATTCCTCTCTTCCTCACCATTTTTTTATCAATTCTGAAGACTGGCTCTGAATACAATACTAAGTAACAATTCCAGACAAGTGTTCTGGAAGTGATTTTGAACAAAGCCTCTTATTTTCTCTCTTAACACTTTTGGGTTAGGGTTGGGTTTTCAGGAAAGCAACCCCATTGTAGATTGGGGGATACCTGCACCTTACAATCTGCCGTCCACTCTACTGTACCTCTTTTACACCCACCATTCTTTCAGACAGCAAATGGCCATTTTCTACTTTTCAGCATGGGTCCCTCACCCACACCACAATTAATACTTTTATTTTTGCCACATTCATTCTCGGGTGCCATTTGACTCTAATCCTTCCTTATATTTCTTAAATTTCTCTGCTGTCTCTTTCATACTAAGTCATCAGCATTCAACAAATGCCAAGGCAGACCAGTCCAAAAGTCCCATGATATTGCCTCTAGCACCATGATAAACAGAGGGAGGCTCAAGACAGACCCCTGATGAACCCCTATTTTCACACCAAATTCATCATTTTCTTCACCATAGACTTTTATTGAAACTTTTGAGCCTTCATATATCTTAACAACTCAAACAAGACACTCCTCATTGCCCACTTCACTAGTTATGAAGTACACAATCAAATACTTTCTCTAATTCTACAAATATGAAGCACAGCTTACTCTTCTTTCCTATATATTTCTCTCATAGATGCCTGACAAATATTGCCTCTGTTGTCCCTCCACCTGGCATGAACCCAAACTGCATTTCTTTTATATCCACTCTCTACATTGTCAATTTCTCAATCACTCTTTCCACAACTTTCATAACCCCTCTAAAAGCTTTATGGTCCCTGAAGTTTGTGTTCAAGTGCGTCACCTGTACCCTTGTAAGTACGTAGTACTGTATTAGTAATCACTCATCCACCAGTTATTTAGAAAAATAAATTCAGTCATGATTGCATTAGTCAATTCAGTCATAATCAACTTGCCTACACTGTCTGATACTTCAAACATTTCTAGTTGCCATTCCTTTCTTCCTTTTGTCAATTGATTTCTTCACCCAATCTCTTTCAATCTTTGGGCATGATCCCTGTACTGGTTCTGCTGGTCCTAGGATGCCTTTGTACCAAGCTGCAGTAATTGCAGATACATTCAAAGTTCACGGGAAGGAGATACATAAAAGGGGCACACATGTACATCACTTTTTTTCTTTCTTTCCTTTTTCCTATTAAGTCACGCCAGTCTTTGATAAAATGTCGGTATTGCTAAAAATATGCCACTCTAGGCATATGCAAATGTTTTTCATGCAGGCATATGAATACTATACAGTATATGTATGAGTATAACTGTCAGCTGGGTGCAAATCATAGAACAATTGACAAATCATTTCAATATTCCACCTTTTGAGTTCTAACAGAAAATAATCAATAAGTCTCCTGTACTGCAATTAAGTGTTTCTAAAGGACTACAGTGCATACCCTAAAGCGTAAATCGTAAATGGTCTTTTACTTGCAATTTGTTGACTGTGTATAATTAAGGACAATCAAATTAAAAAATTAAAAATATTATTGGCTTACGAAGAGGATGATGACTTGGTTTTCTTAAGTTTCGAGCGGTCATTGCTTGAGGGAACTCTTTTACTAGGACGTGATTTTCTTTTGCTGTCCCGTTTATATCCTGAACGATGAGGCGACGAGTCAGATGAAGAAGAAGTTGACGAGGAGGAAGTTGATGACGAAGTTGAAGAGGATGAGCTGCTGCTTGATGATGATGGATTTCTCCTGTGTCCATGTTGGCCATGCATCTGGAACATTGCAGGCAGTGATTCAAACTGATCCTAACACAGGAGCTAAATGACAATGGTCAGACTTTCAATGAGAATTTCTGGTAAAGCACTATAATTATCAATGTTATTGTATGTGCTATTCCAAAATATTATTGTTGATCGAGGGCCCATGCTGCAACAAGCATTTACACATACTGTATACTGTATTGTTGATTATACAATATTTGTTTGATATCAATTTGTAGTGGCTCCAATTTCATATGGCTGTGAAGCTGACGGTCCTTAAGCATTTGTCAAAAAACTGCTGGTTATTCTTAGAGATCTTACAAGGATATCATAAACTTATGCAACCTGTACTTGTAGTATGAATGAAGATTAATATAAATACAGTAGAGTATTGTATTGTACTGTACTTTATAATTCTTGAGTGACAAAAAATATCAGTTACTCCCACTGGATAATTACTGTACCTTCTTATCAACAGATGATATATGATGATGAGAATCGCCAGCCATTTCTCTCATCAGTTCTTGTGTCAGCTGCTGACGGCGACGCTCCAAAGCTACTTCACTCTCCTCCTCTAATCTTCGTAGATCCCAGGTCTCTGACCCTTTACCACCTTTACCACTACCTGTCTTTTGCTGGGGTGCTTTATTACCTGTGCTAGGATGGGCAAAGCCCCCTACACTATTCCCACCACTTCTTGAGCCACAACCTGAAATGAGTATGCTATAAAACACAACAGCATAAATGCATTCTGGCACAAGATATAACAAGAGAAGCAAGATACTTAAACTTATTTGTAATGTATAGACTGGCAGAAAGCAGACATTTCAAAATATGCAAAAAACTATGCAATCTTCAGTAGGAATTCAATGAAGGTTCCTCTGCATTTCTTCATGGCAAGAATATGTTGTCCATTCTAATTTCCTGCCGAACAGATATTATGTCATTTGCATTATGTTCTCCAAGCTCTGGAGACACTGAACAGAGAATAACCCCCACTTGTGCAGATGCGCTCACCCTGCCCGCGCCGCTTCCTGCGTAAATGAGGGAATGTACTGCGTAACTAATAATTGCCGGTCTGGCCAGGTGCCGCGTAAATGACCAACCGCATAAAGGAAATCCACGTAAATCGAGACTATACTGTATTTCCCAATTTTTGTGGGGACAGTCGAGTCTGAATGGATCAAGTGACCAGTGCCAATATGAACGGACTAAGCAGACTGAAGTGACTGTTTGACCCCTTCATTACAGACACGCCTCTTTTAATATATATATTTTTTTGCTAATGCCAGACAATTGTATTCAGCAGAGAGGTGACCCCTTACAGTGATACACAAGTGGTTAAACTCAAAATGCTGTCTCAGAATTTTCCCCCCAAAAATATGGATGGGGTCAGATATAATTAAGTTTATTCAGATTTAAAGCTACAAGAAGTCTAGCTTAGCAGACATTTACTATATCAACAGTGTATTGCTTCCCTTTGCCTTATGAAGAAGTATAAAACAGTTTAAGCACATATACATTAAAACATGTACTGTAGTTACTGTTCTTTAGAGACAACTAATTCACTTGAAGTGACAAAAATTACATACAATTACCTCTGTGACTATGGCTGTCCTTTCCTCCTTCCTTGGCTGAGCGTGATGTCTCTGTCTGACTCACCTGTGTGAAAAAGGAGCAAAATAGTACTGGATGCCACTCATACAAACCAAAATAATTTAAAGTCACACCACTACAACTAACAAGAACCTTTAAATCTAATCAAATTTACTTTGATTAATAAAATAATGATACTGAAATAATAAATTCTAATAACATATCGTACTTCATGTTAAACTGATATGTAATAAATCATTCAGTTATATGTATTATCTTAAATTTCACATTAGCTGATTAAGAAAGAATTCTCTCATGTCAGCAGCTCCTATTGGCATAAAATTACATTCATAACTGTGCTGACTTTGTATTCACAGGTTAAAGATCCTCAGAAAGGTATTGTTTGTATCATATTCAACAATATGCACATTATATTCATGTTATGTGAAACTATTTGTGTCAAAATATAAAGTTACAAAGAAACAAAACTATCATTTGCAAATTTTGTTCAATAATACCTATCAGAAATTCTGACCGTCACTAATTAAAATAAAGATATACCTAATAAAACAAACTGGCAGCTCAATAAAGCCATGAAAAACAGTACAGTACAGTAAGTGATAGTTGAAGCAAACTAACATTACTGTACATGCATATTGTGGCAAATATGGGGAATTGATCATGTTATTTTAGTACAGAGCTCAGCACATGTCAAACAACTCCACTTATAGTGCTGTACACCACTGTGTAGCTATAGAGTTCAAAACCCAGATCTCAGGACTCCTAACAAGTGCAGTTATTGCTATATTAGAATATGTCTGAAAAAAGCAACAAGCCCAGAAAAAGAAAAATTAAATCTAGTAACTCCTTTCTGACCACAATCACAGGCCTTAAAATGCATCATATTTAGTGTTCACCACTTACAGGCTGAAGTCTGAATAGCCTTTGCACTGTCCTAAAAGGGACTGGCCTTGGGTCGACCCCAATTTGGAAATTTAACAAGATAACTAAGCTTTGTAATACGAGACCTTTATACTGTTTGAAAGTACAATGCCAGGTTATTGTTAATCTGCAATACCAACACATCAGTCAATCCTCAGACTGGATTGTTAGCCTTTACAGTATAGATATTGGACCATTGCAACTTCCTTATTAACATAATGATCACTTTATAATAACTTTAAACTGTGTGACCAAACCAGAAACATGAACAAGCTAAATCATTATGAAGCATCACATATTTTTTCAAAAGGAACTGAACAAACAGGTAAGCAAACGTCCTGTAATCTGAAATGGGTGATCGTAACTTGCTGAGCTACTGCTAATACACAATGATTAAAGAGTGTCTCCCTTAGTATAATAAAAAAAAGCCTGGTTGTGGTCAGGAAGAAATAACAAGTATGAGAATCTTTTCATATTAGTTAATTATTTTTAGACTTGTTCTAAATCAACATTGGTTACACATGTCAGAGGACTTGAGACCTGAGTTTTCAGCCCTACAGACTGTGTAATGTAACTGAGTTGCTTGAGATATGCAAAGGCAATTAGTTAATGTAAATCATGCAAAGAAAACATCATTGCCGCAAATTTTTCATGCCGCATAAAGAATAGCACACTGTATGCTGAAGCAGTGCAGGAAAATTAAAACTGTGTTAACTGCAGAATAAATAATGCGCCACTCACACACATACACACAAAGTGAAGGCCATGATGCACTGTATTATGATAAAACCAGCATTTTAAGAGCTTAAACTCTTCAAAAATATTATTATTTAGCCTTAGTAAATTCAGTTAACTTCAACTGTCTGCTACTACTTCTCCCATCATCAAACTTTACCCTTAAACTCTACCTACTGAAAACCACTGTACTGTATTTAAATTCCCTCTTCCTGATGACTAAAAACATCAGAACATGCCCACAGGATACAGATCCCCATTTTTTACTTTCACTTTCTCTCTCTCTACTTGTGTATACATGTAACTACAGTATGTACATTACAGTCATACCAAGAAGAACTGAGACCCCAGAGTCTAGTGAAATAGAAAACAAGCGATAATATCAGACACATTCATGTATGGGGTTGGTTGGTCTTCAATCGATGTTTCATATTCTTTTGGACATCTGGGGTCTTAGTACTTTTTGGATTGACTGTACATGTACAGTATTTATGTTTATGTGGCTGAAAAAGTGAATAAGTTATAAAGGAGGGGGGCTGTTGGTCTTCCAGCCTCCCTTGTGAACCTGAGAAACAGACCTGTATCCAAAAGCTTCCATAGAGGAGAAATGTGCAGATCACTGTGCTAACACACACATACACAGTATCTATAGTACTTATGCTTCATCATCCCCTATGTTGAGACATTAAAAACCCTCTTAACCTATACAGTTCTCTAGTTATTATTGCTAGAACCTTGTCTGAGAAATTCTGAAATCTGAAATTCCTTAAAACTCTGTCTTTAGAATTCTCTGCTTAACCCTTAGCAGGCGGCGGAACTATATATACGGTAGATGGTCCAGAATGTGCGGAAAAATTGCAGCGAGACCATATATAGACGCTTCTCCAAAATTCAGTTCTTGTATCTCCCAGCTGAGACTATATACTGTATAGTCGGATATGTATGAGTGCCCTAGAGCCTCAGAAATCCCTAACTTCAAGGGTGGTGATGGCTTGCCTGATAGCTGGCGCCAGCCGCCTAAAGCTCCAATCACTCGAACAGTCTGTTCCCAGCTTTCATAAGGAACAGGGCACTCTCTTTGGTCTCTTCTGTGGAGCTGAATTTCCATTCTTTCTTTTGATATTTTGAAGAGAGCTAAGTTTTATCAGATATAATTTTCAATTTTCTTTTTGTCTCTTTGGCATTTCACTATTCATTTACTTTTTACTTTCTTCGCCTGTATTTAGGAATTATAGCCATAATTATGTTCCGTAGGAGGAACATTCCTGAAGTGGAAATACAGTATATTCTAGACACGATTTTGATGACGAATTTATGGATGATATTAGTGATGATGCAAAATCAGATAGTGGTGGTGATGACACTGATAGTGGTGATGAATCACAACTTGAGATTATTACAGAGGAACCAGATGATATTCTGTCAGGTGCAGAAATTGATGGTCAAGATGACAGTACTCCAGTTGGATGGTTGAGCAATTCTCCAGTTAGTAGAGAACGATTTACATTTACTGGAGACACGGGAGCCAAAGTAGTTTTGCAAGATCCTCAGAACCCAATAGAGATTTCTTTGCCTTTTGTAGATAGAGATATAATAGAACATATAGTGAAAGAGACAAACAAATATGCTGCCAAGGTCTGTGAAGAAAAGAGAAGGAGTGGTAAAATGAGGAGAAAAAGTAGAGATCTGATGTGGAAGGAAACTAATGTTGGGGAGATGTATACCTTTTAGGTTTGGTCATTTTACAAGGCACAGTTAAGAAGCCAACTATATACTCATTCCACTCCATGAACCAGGTGCTTGCAACACCCTTTTTGGGGAAATGCATTAGCTGGGACAGATTTGCACTTATTTTGAAGTATTTGCATCTAACTGAAAAAAAAAAAAACAAGTGATGACCCTGCTTACAAGTTCAGGGAGGTGCTAGATAACTTTAGGCAGAAATATATGTCTAATTACATCCCAAAGGAAAATATTAGCATTGATGAGTCCCTACTTCTCTGGAAAGGACGACTAAAATGGAAAAGGTATACAGGTATTCCAATAAAGAGAGCAAGGTTTGGCATAGAGACCAACATCTTAACAGAAGCTGAGACAGGGTATGTATGAGACCTTTTATTATATACAGGGAAAGGCACAGAATATGCTTGCCAAATACCAGGGTTGTCAGATCAAGCTATAGCCAAACTGTCCAAACCAAGTAAGACTGTTCTTGCACCAGTAAAGCCTCTACTGAATAAGGATTATGAGCTTGGAATGGATAACTTCTATGTTTCACCCGAGCTGTATGACATCCTCTTAGCTCACGGAACTGATGCCGTAGGCGCAGTAAGATTTAACAGGTAAGGGACTTTCTGAAGATGTAAAAGAAAAGAAACCCCCCAAAAAGGAGAGAGAATCACCAGGTCCAATAATAAAGTGATGCATATGAAACAGAGAGACAAGAAATATATAAACAAGCTCAGCACACTCTATGACGACTCCATGGAAATGGTACAATCTGGTGGGAAAAGGGTAAGCAAGCCACCTGTATGCATCTAGTACAAAAAACTACATACAGTATGGGATGGGTAGACCTAATGGATCAGGTAACATCTGCTTCAAGTGTCACATGCAAGGGTGTTACAAAGTACTGTACTACAAGAAGCTATTTTCAGGCTGATAGAAATGAATTTGGATAACTGCCATGTAATCTACAAGAGAAAAGGAGGCCAGAAAAACCTCCTTGACTTCAAGTTGCTCTTGATTGAACAGATTGTGTCTGCATATAGCAAAGACATTTATTGGATAAAGAAACCCACAAACTCAGTGACTCTTGGGCCCATGCCCTACAAGACTGAGTGGAAGACATTTCCCAATAGAGACGGAGTCAGCTGAAGGTGGCAGTACAAAAAGGTTCAAAGGAGATGTAATTATTATGCAATGCAAAAGAAAGTGAGGAGAAATATCTACAGCTGTGATGTTTGTCAAGTTGCACTGTGTATTACTCCACGTTTTAAGCTTTACCACATGAGAAAGCCTTCCAATGTAGGAGAGTGACAGCAGTGAATGACAAATGCCATAAGAAGCAACAGTAAGGCAACAATATAGTAAGGGAGGGTGGGAGAGAAACCACATCCAGGTCACAAGTCGGGGACACAGCTTTTGCTGTGGGTGTGAGTGACTCCACGTACCTTACTTATACGAATATAAATAATAGCCACTTACTAAATTCACGTTTTAATACTAAAAGCATCTTTGTGATGTTAATGAAATACAGTATAGCAACTGTTCCATATTGTGGTAGAGTCTATATATAGATGGTGTTAAAATTTCACAAAATGCGGTGTAACTTTATTTATGTTCCACTCCAGCGGTCAACATCATCTATATAATGACGCTATTTAAATTTGGCGCTTCTTCCGTCACTGCTGCTGCCGGCTAAGGGTTAAACAACAAATTTGTTTAATTATATGATAGAACATTAACTAAAACATTGGTGCACTAATTAAAATAAACAACCCTACACAGTGTACAGAAATGACTAAATTATACACAGTACAGGTGCAATATAATACCTGATGAGGCAAATGTGTGTGGCCATATATCTCCATTTAAATACTTACAAATACTGTACTATACAGTTAGTGTGCAATACAAAGTTTATAATTTTCTCCCCACTTACTACAAGGTGGCCGTATACAAGCAATTATGCATGTACATTTTCCATTATTTGCTGAAGGAACAAAAATTAAATAAAATAAAATACGTACTGGTAAACGGCTAAACATATTTTTAGCAATAAATATGAAAGCTGCACTGACAAAATTCTCAATCCAAAAGGAAAGTTGAAGCAAGTGTAAGGAAAAACAATGACAAAAATATCTGTGAAATGGGGAGTTATAGAATTTAGAACTGAAAAATAATACATCGCCAAGGTTGACCATGGTGATTGGCTGATATAAAGGTAGGTCTCCCCCGTTTATACCCTTCCTTTTAAGTGGGTGGTAGGATCAGCAGTTTTCCAACACGTCCATATCTCTTATCACTTCACTTCCTCTATTCTACCTTCATTCAATCTAATACATATTCCTCTCTACAGTAACTAATTTCATCATTTTACTTTTGTTCACATGCACTCTTAACTTTCTCCTACTACATTCTTCCAAAATGATTCACTAACATTTGTGACTTTTTTTTTTAATTACCTGAAAGAGCTGTGTCAACTGCAAACAGCAAGTGACTCACCTCCCATTTGCAGCATTCTTAATACTAATACAAATAAGAATAATCATTCACAATACTGACAAAGAGAGTACAGGGTATTTGTCAATATACAAATTATAGTCAAGGACTTATTTATGACCATTGACTGTATATTTACTTCCTGATCCAATATAAGTGCAGAACCTTGATGGACACAAAGCACATCTGGATATTCTTGTTAAGTGTTGTGATTCGAATGAAATACTTTAAATTACACCACAATGGTTAACATCAAAGTGTTCTATAAAAAAAATTCAAACTCAAATTACTGTACTAACATTGCAATGCTTGTCTCTTTGGATATATTCATAGGAGGCATCGCTTGCAACTTGAATACTGTCCTTTGATTTGGTTAGCTGAAAACAGGCTTTGCTGTAAAACAACAGATACAGAAAAATGTACGACACTGTATGTCATTCATTTTTCAATACCGGGTAAACAAAATATGATGGTCACTTTAGCTAACAGTCTTGTATCAGAGAATAGCATAAACATATATCAAGCAACATCAAAATTCTCAAGGCTAAACATCCCTGGTAACATTTTAACATCTTGTAAAAGCATTTGCAATTTTACATATATACAGAGTGAACTGTAGCTGGCCAATTAAGCATGCAAAAATAAGGGAAGGCTGTGGAATTTCCCTCGCAGCATCTGTCAACATTTAGCAGGAACTAAGGTCACAGATAACTTGGTACACTGAGAAACAGATGTGCACAAGCACTGTTCACCCATACCAGCCACTACCCCACCTTTGCCTGCAGCTGTTTCTGTGACTGTTGCTGCTGCAGTAGCTGTTGGTGATCCTTTGTGGAAAGTTGCTTCTCTGGCTTCTTAAGGTGACTTCTGTGTCAGCAAAAGCAGCATTGGGGAGAAGTTTACAATTACTCAAACTCACTAACAGCTTCTTCAACCTGTAGCACCACTCACTCTTACTTAAGTCACCTTAACCCACTATACACAACACTTAAGATAAATAGGAATTAGCCAACCAATATAGTATATACAGTCCATACATTATTCCCTCAAGACAAAATCAAAGATAAGCATAAACACATACACACACTGCAAAGTTTCAGACCATTTTCAAGTAAGATGGTACAGAAAGCTCCCCTTCCCTCCCCTCCTGTTTTGCAATATTGTACATTTCTTCCCCATTTTTGAAAGGCTTTTCCTCCGATGATGCAGGGTAACAAGGTGATTTTTGGGGGGTTAATATCAAAGATCACTGCCTGTAAATAAGTAGGAATACTGTAGTACAGTAAATGGTTTATTTAATGCTGAACCAGGTGGACCATGACTGTAAAAATCTGTGCATCATGAGAAAAATCTATGTAGGAATGGCATGGACAGATTACCATTCAGAAGGAAGCAATAAACATGCATGCATGCACACACACATCAGGTTTGGGTTCAAATGCAAAGTTTTTTTTTCACTTGCACTTGTACTAAACTCATCCTTGGTCTATGTCTGCAAGTGGCCTTCTCTGAGCTACCTATACTGTGTAAGGTAGATATACGAGTTTGATTTTTGAAGTTCCAGTGGTGTCTGAAATGGCCCGGAACAAATTAATGAGTAAAGTATGACAAATGGCAACGTCTCAAGATGTGGTATGGGCGTTAGACCTCCCCTTTGTGTAGGCCTCAGTATCGTTTTCACCGTGCAGAAGTGCTCACCTCACAGAATGGTTTCCCAGATTCATAACATTCTTTTTCAACCAGCACCAGAAAAAATTGTGATTAATACATGTGCAGCGATAGTGATGATGACAGTGACCAAAATCATGACCAAAATTATGTTGTGAGCAGTGATAGCAGCAGTATTAGTGATGACAGTGAGTGAGTGCAACCACAGATAATGAGATCATCACCCACACCTTCTACTCCTGGCTCTCAAGATGCTGTTTCCTCTTGGCTGCTTACCCCTAGAGCAGCTAGTAAGAGGTGAAGTCTATCAGGGAAAAAGCTATATTATTTCAAGGAAACAACCAGCTCAAGGTGCAAGGAAGCGAGCAGGCTGTGGTCCCTCTGTCCTAACCAGGCGTCACACCACATCACAATTTGGCTTTGATGATTCGGAGGAATCAGACCCAAATGACCGAGATAGTGCTCCTACACATTAGCCTGCTTCAGCAACCTCTTTCCCCCCAAAACGATCTTCTAAGTCAGGTTAGACAAGATGTGATATGGAGATGGAGTGAAGTGAAGCGGTCATGCGTGGAGGCGCAGGGTTTAGTTTACTGATCCTAGAAACACTACACCTACCCCACCCACACACCCACCACCTCCTGGTCCATCTCATTGTCCTGTTATTGCAGTTGGTGCTGGTGTTGGCATGCAGTGAAACTGGACAATGGTAATAACTTCGTGGCTGATGCCTTTGAAACTGCCGTTAGTGGTTGTGGTGTCACAAGCAATGACACCAATGAGAGCAGAGAAGTGGACTACTTTTGGCTGTTTGTTACACATGAAAGAGTTCAGCTGATTGTGAAGGCCATCTACCCATATTTTCGTTTCATTACTTTGGGAAGACTAATACCACCTCAGGCACATCTCAACTGGTTCGACACAACCACGTAGATCTCACTGATCTACATCTTCCTTGCTCTGGTAGTGTTGATGGGGCTAGTAAAAAAGAATGCATACTGCAATTTCTGGGCCACTGACCCACTACTATTCACTCCAATCTTTGGGAAAGCAATGTCAATCAACCACTTCACCAAGACCATATGATTCCTCCCCTTCTACAGCTCTGCAGCCAGCTGTTCACGATAGGATGAAAAAAGTGCAGTCCATCTCTGACTGCCCAAGGCGTGGGAATTTATTCTTTCACCAGTACATTCCATCCAAGAATCACAGGTTTGGGATGAAACTCTTTCTTATGTGCTACCATAAAACAGGCTACATCCTGGACTTGCTGCTTTACACTGGTATCAACATTGACATCACCCAAGATAAACACTGTGGCTGTCTGGTGCCATTGTAGTGAACCTGATGCAACCAAGGCTGCACTCTGTTTGTGGATAACTGGTACACCAGCCCTGCACTATTCCTCTTCCTTTATGAAAACCAGACAGGAGCCTGTGGAGCTGTGGAAAAGAACAGAACAGGAAGAATGCCTCCAAGTTTCCCACAAAAATGAAGAAAGGTGATGTCATCCACTTGAAAGCTAATAACATCCTTGCAATGTGGTGGCAAGATAAACGTGATGTCATCTTGCTCCCCACTGTCCATGAGCCCAAGATTGAAGTCAGCCAGAATGATGACCCCTTCACATGCATTTATATCAACAAGCCTGTGTGTGTGGTGTGGTGTGTGTGTGTGTGTGTGACTACAATATTAACATGAGGCTTATTGATAAGTCAGACAATATGATATCTAGCATAGATTGTGAATGTCAAACTATGAAATGGTATAAGAAATTATTCTTCCATGTCCTGGACAAAGCAATATTGAATGCACATGTTCTATACCTGGTTAACATAAACAGAAGCCCTCACTACACGGCTTCACACTGGAGGTGGTGAGACAGCTGCTAGAGATAAACGCTACTCCACAACCAGCAACTGGGGGGTCACAGGCATGCAGATGCAAATACACCGAAGGGTCAAGACGTACCTGGCTCTACTCTGGCAGCAGCCACGTCAACTGTTATGTAATGTTATGTTGGCCCTCTCCTGAACCCTCCTCCCCACCGGAATATCAACAAGTTCTCGCCAGAAGTTACTATTTCATTTAGGAAAGGAATGGAACCAGTGTTGAACAGTGGTGAACAGTGCTGAAGTCAGTGAAAAGCAACTCAACAGCAACAGCTGAGTCGTACCCAAGCTAACCTTCACACAGTGAGGTCCCAGGTACCCAGTGATAACTGCCGGTGAGACTCAACAGTACCAGCTATGTGTTAATCTGTTCACGATAGGGAGGCCTGGGACCACACCTCACTCACTTAAGTGAGTGAGGTCCTATGACACAAGACCACGTGGTGTCCCCATGATGCTATGACACATGTAGTGAATGAGTTGCTACAGCATCACATCAGGCCCCTCATAACACCATCTGTGAGGAAGTTACTACACCACGTGATGCCCCTCATAACACCATCTGTGAGGGAAGTACTACACCACGTGATGCCCCTCATAACACCATCTGTGAGGGAATTACTACACCACATCAGGCCCCTCATAACACCATCTGTGAGGGAATTACTACACCACGTGATGCCCCTCATAATACTATCTGTGAGGGAATTACTACACCACGTGATGCCCCTCATAACACCATCTGTGAGGGAATTACTACACCACGTCAGGTCCCTCATAACACCATCTGGGCGGGAGTTACTACACTACGTGTTTGCTGTTCAACACCTACATTAATCTGTATGTTCACTGTATGTTCCTTTACCTTTCTCTAATGAAGGCTTTTGTGAAACCACCAATGTATGTAATAAGTCATTTATGTCCAATGTATATTTTCAGCCTTCGGGCTGCAGAACTTTTTCAATAAACCGTTAATTATTATTAATATTATTATTTACACCCTTACGCCTTACTGTTCGCCACTTCCCAAGTTTGTTGCCCTAAACACAGGCTAAGAAATATGCCAAGAGATCTTGTAACGTATACGAGAACACAGTGTTACTTGAAAAAGTGCGGAAAGACACCAGGTATTGCTGCAGTGAGTGTGATGTTGTATTGTGCTTGATGCCCTGCTTTGAGCAATATCTTACCATTAGAAACTACTGTACTACATGGTATACAGAAAATAGAAACATTGTAAATACTTATATAATTATTGTAGAAGTAAGAAATTTTGGTAACAAAGATATTCATGCTAGTGAAGTTGCGAGTGTGTGAGAGTATTAAGTCGTAGTAAGGAACGCTACCAGTTCATAATGTAAACAATGTTTGTGTGAAGCAATAAGCTTGTAACTACTACACTTATCACTGTTAGGAATAATTTAGGTATACTGTAGTACAGTATAAATAAGTGATCAAATTAGGCGAGGGAAACATTGAGGATATAACTCCAGCAATAGGAAACAGAACTTATTGTGGCAGCATGGTATGATACGCTACACAGCCATGAGCCCCATGCTCCATACCTCCCACCCACAAGTTTCAAAATGGTGAATACAGGCAAAATAAATGCAATTCTCAGGTTTTATACAGTCAAACTGTATCTTTTAAGTAAAAATTAAATAAACAAATAATAACATTTGGTCGACCTGGGGGTGACATTTAACATTCCAGAACCTGAACAAGGACGGGTTAGATGCAGAATTAAAATGTACAGTACAGTACAGTACTGTACTTAACATTTGTACATGCATTTAAATCTGAAATATTTGTATTTGCATTTAAATGCACAAGTGCAAATTTTAAATCTGACTTTACTCTTATTATTAATACTGTATCTCACAAGGTCAGTGGAGACCTGACTATGACCTGTTCCTATAACGTCAGTTGCTACTGAGAGGCTTCTCCAAGCTCTCACCTCATCCCTTCCCTGGACAATAGCCTAAAGGATATACTGTACACATGGCTGTACTTGATGGAATTAAACTTTGTATTTGATTAATCTAAAACATTTTTATATGCATTTAAATATACAAGTCTGCATTTGGACCCAAACCTGCACACACACACACACACACATTACAACCTTTGTAAATTAGCTTCAGTCAGCTCTTCTTCAGACTTTTCCTTCTCAACATTCTTTTATTTATTTCTTAATCTGAGTTGAAAAGTCACTTTCATAGGACAACATAGAACAATTACTGTACAAAAATAAAAAATCATACTCTATTTAGTGAAACACCTTATAACTCATCCACAGCACATTAAACAAAAAGTATGCATAGCCTCTGGGCAATCTTATATGATGGAAAAATAACACAAAATCTTGGTAGATCAAAGAAAAGAACTTAAGTTGAAATTCAAGAGATCAACTTCTTAAACTGGATGTTAATGAGCAAAATTCTCCAGTACAGTACTATTACCAATGCCTCAGCCAACAGAAAATACAGTTAGTAAATAAGTGATTCCCTTTCATACTAATAAAGAGATAACATAGTCTGAGCATCAAAGGAAATGGTCTGAAAGGATCTTCTTTTATATACCACAGTACAAAGACATGAAAATACAGTATACTGTAAAAAAATTTTGTTTACTTCCACACACATTCCATTCTTGGAAGTGTTAGATCTAACTAAAGCCAGCTTTTCTGGCTGACTGAAAATGTTTTTCCCTCATGAGCGAGTTATTTTTTAGTGCAGCCAAACCCCTTTACTACAGGGACGTCACTTTTAATATTTAATTTGGCTAACGCCAGTCGATTTTATTCAGCTTAGAGAGGAACCCATACCCAAGTGGTTAATGCAACAAACAACCACTTCTTGGTCATTGGTCACCCTTGTTACCAATAAAAATGAATGAATGGTATCGAGATAAATACTGTACTTCAGAAGAAAGTATTTAAAAGGATAATCATTCACTGGAAAAAATTCGCCAAGCAAACCAAAAGCAAATACTGTACTGTACCGAACTACCACTGATGTCATTCTTTCTAAGATATTCACACCCAATAACCCCTGTCCTATATTCAAAGCTGCATAGTGGCTTGTCTATGTAAAGTCACAAAAGATCTTTACATATTCGTGTGTTGAAAACCCAATGGGAATGTTTAAAAACACTCTTCAATTACAGCACTCACTAATTATGTTCAATTCTCAAATAAGTATGTTAAGTTTGCTGTATTCTATATACAGTACAGTACAAACTGAACAATTAATGAGTAAAGTAACCTGGAGATCAAATGAACCCAAAAAGGGTAACAGTAGGAATAAAAATGAGAATACAAGTATGAGAAGAATCAATGGAGTATACTGTATAGTTTTACATAACAAGAAGCTGCCAATTGAATGAAACGACAGTGAGGATTTGTACAAAGGATGATATAAATGGACTGAGAATGAAAATTTACCCTTTATGAAAATGTGTATACTGTACAGTATTTCTCCAGAGGAATGGACTATACTGTACTGTATTATCAGTAAGTTGATAAAAAAATCTACACATTTTGCAGACACATGCTGAAAGTGACAGTAGCTCTGACAGACAACCCTGGGTTAAAAAAAATAAAATACACATATTAATCCTCAATTAGTAGTTTCTAAAACATGAAAATCAGTATACAGTACTGTACTGTACTGTGGTACTGTACAAGGAAAATTCAACCAGGAATCCTTAACTCACACTTTTCTTAGATTTAATGATATAAAACTTACTTGTTGCCATCCACAGCTTTTGTCCTAGATGTCTCACTCTGTGTAATTTTTGAGAGACGGTGGGACAAACTCGACCGTGATGATGCTTCAGGTTGTGTGTGGCTTGAGGCCCTACGAGGATCCACTAGTGGCATCATGCACACAACATCTGAAAAATATTGTACATAATTTTCAACCTTGTCACATTACCCTAACACAAAGTGGAAAACCCAAGTCAACCAATCTTATAATCTTATACAGCATTGTACTTATACCGGGGTATTTATAATATTGTACAGGGGTCCCTGACTTTAGAACGTCAGCCGATACGAACGATGTTAAACTTTAAATTTACAGTACAGTAATTTAATGTATTTACCTGATGACATTTTTTTTTTTTACTTTCATTTACTGTGGTTGAAACTTTCTCTAACTTAGCCTAATAATGTGGCCTTGCAGTCTGTGGGCTAGGTAGGACTACTTCATTAACTCTGTACTATGCAAACCTAACCTTAACTTATGACTTAAATTAGGGTGGCTAGGTTATGTATGATGTATTTTGTGATTTTATGTGATGGTCTCTCAAAGTTAAAACAAGAAAAATATGGCTTAATTTTGTTGGTTAAAGAAAAAAAAATTAATTCAATATATTTGTTGGAACAGTCTTTTACATGGGTGAAATATTTTATGTACGGTACTCAATTGATCTAATAAGCTTTGGTCATCACCGTACATTAAGCATTAAGGTAACTGTATCCAGATTAAAGGTACAATTAGGAATTAATTACCAAATCAAAGTGAAAGTAACTACCCTAAAAGACCTACGACTGACATCTTAAGCTTTTTAACTAGTGTTCATTATATCTTAACTTACATACAGTTTACCTTTGTATCAATAGCAACCTTTAACCTCTTACCTAACAGAGGAGGGCTTGTATTAAAGCCATCCTGATCGTTCTAAAGTCACAACATGAAACAGTTACTGAGTGATGCCGACGACAACACATCAACAACACCAGATAAATTTTCAATGGAGTGAGGCGCCGGTAGTGACGTCATACAACACTGCGACGTCATTGTAATATTTCTTTTCAACGGAGTGAGGCGCTAGTAGTGACGTCATACAACACTGTGACGTCATTGTAATATTTTTTTTCAACGGAATGAGGCGCCGGTAGTGACGTCATACAACACTGTGACGTCATTGTAACATTTTTATTCAACGGAGTGAGGCGCCGGTCGTGACGTCATACAACACTGCGACGTCATTGTAACATTTCTAGTTTTAGATTTACTAGTACAGCAATTTGGGAGGACTACGTCTCGGAAAATATACATGGTACACATAAGTCAGAGTTAAAATATGCAGCTCCAATATGACACTTAGGGATCACACAAATATTCTCATTTTTTATTGGAGCTCCTGAATGTAAGTCCTAATTTATTTCACTTTGTTTTACGATGATTAGACCACCCGGGCACAGGTAAGGCCACTTAGCTCTTCTAGTTGGCCTTGGCACAAGTCACTGACCCAAAACAGGGCCTGGGGGCGAAATAATAATAATAATAATTATAATAATAATAATAACTATTATTATTATTATTATTATTATTATCATTTCTACAATAATTAATTAAAACCAAAACAAAATAATAAAAATAAAAATAAAATATTAAAATATATAATAATAATAATAATAATAATAATAATAACCATAAATAAATACAAAAACGAAAAATAAATCAAGAGAGAGAAACGATATACATTATGTATGTTGTGTTGTCAAATTAAGAGAAACAATTTAAACCCTACAAATGAGGCAGAGTATCACATCAGCAACCTGGGACTTGGTCCGGGGGTTCCCAAACCTGGGTTCGTGACCCCAAATGGGGTCGAAAGCCTCATTAGGTAGGGTCGCAAAGAGGTCATGGGGTCGGTGGGGTCGCTGGGGTCCTTCGGGTCTACCAGCTCAGGTCACATGGGGAGAGGAAGGGTGGAGTAACTGACCAGTCCCTCCCACTCTCCCACCACTAACCTAGAACAGTTGAGGGTGGGGCCGGTCGGTGACTGTCAGGCCAGGTGACAGGTTGCAATATATGATGATTTGATCTTGCCGACACTTGCCAAGCATCGGCAAGATGCCGCAAGATCAAAGGTTGCGACCTATAGGTACCTGGCCTGATACGGTCACTGACCCAGGCCAGGGAACAGGTCGCAACCTTTTGCGATATTTACATTCAGTCTTGCACTTATGACACTACTGAGGTCGGGAGAACACCATGCGATCGAAAAAATGCTACAGTTTCTTCGTTTTTTTCCCCAAAACTCGCAATCAGCTCCATATAATTTAAGTTACACCCATCACAGACTTCCATGGTCGGAAATAAATATGAATTTGGAAATATGAGAGGCCCAAAATAAAAATCGATTTTGATTGGGCCAAAAATACTGCGAATTAAACCAAAAATTATTTTAATGTTAGAGTTGTTAATCTTAAATTTTGAAAAGCTATCTTCAGGTCATCCAAAAAGAAAATTGATGTTTATATCAGATTCAAGAGAGAAAGTGAGAGGATATGGTCTCAAATCACCAGACCTTTTATCAAGAAATGTATATATAATACAAGGTATTTGTTCTGGAACGTTGAAGCCACGTGTGTTTGCTGGAGGGGGGGGGGTTACTGATATAGAATAAATGGTAAGTCGTAACCTAAACAATATTTGATTTGAAGTCCATAGTGCTTTTATAAAATTTGACGACTGCAGGATGTTGTGTCTTCGCCGTGTGAAGAAAACAACGTTCGACCAGTTTCAAGTTTTGTTTGGGCGAGGTGTAGGGGGGAGCAGTGGACATAGCAAACAAACAGTCTTTTAAGCAACGGCTGTTTGTGAAGTTTGGACAACAGGAGACACGACTGTTTGTGAGGTTTAACCAACAGGAGCCAGGATTGTTGTTGTTTTTTTTTTGGGGGGGGGAGGGATAGCCCAACCGGCCACAGGTAATCGATCCACTACAGGGCCTGGGGGAGGGGGCGAAAAAATAAGAGTAAAAAGATATTAAAAATAGAAGCGAAAAAGATTAGTATATTAATCTACACCACGAAGATGCCGGAAAAACAGCTTTTTAAAGTGAGACAGATTGTATGAGTATGGAAACACAGAAGAAGGCAGAGCATTCCACAGTTTGGCTGTGAGGAAAGAAGGAGGTACTTTAACGGGTTATTCTAGTGTGACCGACATCCTCACAGAAACGGTGGGCACCACGGGCAAGACGAGTGCTACGAGCCCAAGGCCTTGCCGGCGGTACACAGGATACCAAATCCACCGAACATTGCCCGTTAAAGTTCCTGTAAAAGAGAGAGTGAAGCAACACTGCGGAGAAGAGAAAGGGAAGAAGGATTATCAACTAAAGGAGGAGAGTTAATAAGACGTAATGCCTTTGATTCCACCCTATCTAACAGTTGGACAGAAGAAGAGCCACCCCAGATATGAGAGCAGTACTCCAAGTTAGGACGAATGAATCCCTTATAAACTTGAAGCAACTGCTCAGGAGTGAAGTAGCTACGGCATCTGTACAGCATTCCCAGCAGGGTCTACCATTAGACAACACATTATGCTTCTAATATCTTCCCAGTGTGTGACAGCAGGAGATAAGACTGCGTGGAGTTTAAACAGATTCAGTTCTTATGGGTTGAAACCAAAAAGAATCGGCATGAAATATGAAAAAAATAAAATAAATTGCAATTTTAAGATTATTTAGCCAGAATAATACAGATGCAAAGTGAAAAAGAACTACAATATTGACTTGGTTGAACCTTCCGAGTGCTGGATTTATTATCTCAAGAAAATATTGTACATCATTTTGGCACACCCTGTACACAGACTAACGATAAATCTAATATTTTTCACTTTATCATGGCAGGGAAGACATATGAATAAAACTCTGTATTTTAGTTTTATGTAAGTTCTTTTATTGTACACCATAAGAGAACACAGTGTCTGTGGGATGAGCAGTAGCTGTTCCCACCAGGAGTCACAGTACTGCACAGGGTATCTCACGGTTCTCACCCGTCTGTAAACAAATACTTGTGTGCCATATACAGCTTTTTCTGAGGAATTTCAAACGAGTGTGGTCACAATGTGCCCAGAAGTAATGTCGGGGGAGTGAGTTAGTTTAACAACTTCAATGAAAAGATTGAACGTAAACAATTGGGTTTAGTCTTATAAGCATTGAGGGGGCTGCCACTGTTCACTACCTAGCAGGCAGGCAGGATATGTTTTTATAGCTCACAGATTTGGTATATTAATGTGGGAAGTAAGAGGGGAGGTGGGAAAGTGAGAGATGGGGTGGAAGAATAAGCGGGAAGACCAAAAGGAGTGAGGGGAGACGGGGGCGTGTGAAGGGTGGCGGTCTATGAAGACGGACAACTTGAGGGAGAGGCACCCACTCAGTGCCTCAGTGGGCACCAGCACACACACCCGTCTCCTCCTCCTCCTCCACAAGGACAGGTAATGTGACCGTACTTATACATCATCTCCCTACTCACAATATACCGACAATCAACGTTATAAATTTAAGTGGCAGTTAAATAGTCCTCAGAAGTGTATCCTCACTGGAAAATCACAGGAAAGCAATTTATCGAGTGAAGATCTTCATTTAATGTTTATATTATTATTATTTTAGTTGCTGTTAAACTTAGTTCAAAGTTATGCCATGATAAAGGGTTCATCATATGTGATATTCAAACAGATGTGAGGGCGAATACAGTAAGTGTCCGTAAATATTAACGCTCTTTCTTTCCATAATTTACTTGCAATTGTAGACTTTTTAAATTAAAGTAATAATTGAAATATATGTCCTTCAAACAGTGTATTAATGTACGTCTAAAAAAGATATTCCTTTATTAATTCCGTCTCTAGTTTAAGTTAGAGCCCCGGACTGTTTAATTTAAATGATGGATATTTTACGTTGATTCTGAATCTCTACGTGACGAATAGACGCGAAAGGCGATAAATTCAACGCTCACCCCAAGTCTTTCATAAATATATCAGATATTTTTGAAAGATATTTAGGAGGGACGCAGGCTATGGGTGGTATGGGTGGACTAACGATGGATGTCCGTATTAGTAAGAGGATGGGTGGGCAAGTGACGTCAATGAGTGGATGTATTTGAGTCGGTGAACAAGCGAGCGGGTCAGGGAGGTGAAGGGTTGATGGAATGTAAACAGAATTAGTTAATCAGGCCAAAGTATAGCAAGTCTGAGAAGATAAACTGAACGAAGAAGAGGTTTAAGGAGGACTAACTGGACATTATATAAAATGCATAGATATTTATTCAATATCTATTCAACAAAATTGTAATACAATTTATATCAATTTAGTATGTGTATGGACTATGCAGGTATACAGTTCAACATGGATTAGGTAATGCAGATATGTGTTGTCTAATGGTAGACCCTGCTGCCATATGTGACCAAGTCCCAGGTTGGTGATCTGACTTTCTGCCTCATTTACACACAATTGCAGGGTCTCAATTGTTTCTCTTACCTTGACAACACAACACACATATATCGTTTCTCACTATTATTATTATTATTATTATTATTATTATTATTGTTAATATTATTATTATTACTATTATTATTATTATTATTATTATATATGTATTTAATATTTTATTTAATATTTTGTCTATTTTATTATTATTATTATTATTATTATATTTCGCCCCAGGCCCTGATGTGGGTCATTGACCTGTGCCCTGATGGGCTAATCCCGTAAAAAACAAAAAATAGGGTCCGACTAATTACCCAAATGTACCCAATTATAGCCGGAATGAAGTCAAATAATGGTCCTAGATGAATAAATCGGACTGCCAATCACTTCTCGACTAGTATTTGGTGTCACAAAGTCACAAAATATTGGTAAACTTAATTTAATCTGAGTTAATAGATCGAGTGCATGTACCTAACCTAACCTATCCTAACCTATCCTAACCTAACCTCGACTAGTATTTGGTGTCACGAAGTCAAAAAAAATTGGTAAACTTAATTTAATCTGAGTTAATAGATCAAGTGCATGTACCTAACCTAACCTAACCTAATCTAATCTAATCTAACCTAACCTAACACAACACAACTCAGATTAAATTAAGTTTACCAATTTTTTGTGACTTTATGACACCAAATAATAATCGAGAAGTGATTCACAGCCCGAATTACACTTGTACGACCATCATTTGACTTCATTGTGGCTACATTTGGGTAATTCCTCGCTCCCTCGGTACATGCGCGCGATGTATTAACTCAGATTTAAGTAAGTTTTCCAATTTTTTGTGACTTTGTGACACCAAATACTAGTCGAGAAGTGATTGGCAGTCCGATTTATTCATGTAGGACCATTATTTGACTTCATTCCGGCTATATTTGGCTACATTTGGGTAATTAGTCGGACCGCAAAAAATACAGTTCGGTATATAGATAATGTAAATATACAGTTAAGAATGTATACAGATAATGCAGATATAAAATTCAGAATGCATATAGATAATACAGGTATACAGTTCAGCATGTATATACAGTAGACAGTGCAGTTATATGATGTACTGTACATAGACCGCATAGATATACAGTACAAACAATGTAAACAAGCAATTCGACCAAGGATATATAGCCAACAAAGCCATCAAGATGCTTATTTTTAGCAGGGTCCTCGTACTCTCTTGGCTAAAATGAATAGAGAAATCATTATAATAATATAATATTAAGAACACTGAAAATGAATACAAAACAAACACAAGGTTGTCACTCAGGAAAGAAGGAAAGTTTAGTGTTTGTTGCAATTTATTGTGTTTGTTATCTATTTTCCGTGTTTTATCATACTAATATCTTTGTTTTTCACACATTTTTAAAACAAACAATGAACTTTAGTAACTACTCCCACATAACTCCTGATTCCCTTAGCAACCAGTGTCGAAGCTCGTGACGTCAGCTGTTGTTGTTTATATAAAGATACTTCAATGGCCAATGATTATTAAACGCCACTGATTAATATAAATTTCTTTACTAGACAAAAGTAAAAACAAAAGATAAGGTTTAGAAATCAAATAATGGAATATTGATAGCGATAAGTTTAATATAATGATCAACTTACTCCACTGAGGGGAAGGGGGAGGAGAGGGATTGGGAGCGCAGGCGTGGCGAAATATTATTTAGTGTAATATTATCTCCCAGCTGTATGCGTAGACGTACACAAGCGTTGAAAGTGATATTCAAGATATGACATATATTAACCACACCTATAAATAAACTTGTTGGAACCTAATTTTGAATGAGGATATTCTAATACCGTATATAAACTGTGAACGATTGTTGGGCTAAAAACCTACACTTGGGCTGTAGTTGATATGTAGGTCGTATTAGGCTAGTTCGTCATAGTTGATTGTGTAATTTATATCATTTTAAATGTCATTCTTCTTCCTTTAAGGACATTAACGCGCGTTATGACCACAGACCTTAAGGAAAATCTTATGGTCAGGAATATTGCTTTGTTTTAAGTACACTACTGGGTTTGGGTAATAATAATAATAATAATAATAATAATAATAATAACAATATTAATAATAATAACAATAATAATAATAATAATAATAATAATAATAATAATATTAACAACAATAATAATATTAATATTAATAATAATAATAATAATAATAATATTAACAATATTAATAATAATAACAATAATAATAATAATAATAATAATAATAATAATAATAATATTAACAATATTAATAATAATAACAATAATAATAATAATAATAATAATAATAATAATATTAACAACAACAATAATAATATTAATAATAATAATAATAATAATATTAACAACAACAATAATAATATTAATAATAATAATAATAATAATAATAATAATAAGCTGAAAATATAGAGAACACATAAGTGGTACTTACTGTACAGGCATGAGGGAGAGGGTCATTTAAGAAGGAACAGCAGCATTGTTGCAGTACAAAGGGGAGGTTGGCAAGGAGTGAACACAAATTATTATTTACGAGTTTTTGATGATTTTTACAATGGTTGAGCTAAGACTGTTCTTGTAGACTGTAGAGGATCGCTATAATAACAGTGAAGTTCGTATGCCAGAGACTGTCAGTTGACTGAAAATATCCAAAGGAGGGCCACCAGACATCAGACACCTCAACTACCCAAAGAGAGTAGACCTCCTATAATTGCATAGCTTATACAGTAGGCGGGTAATAATGAGTTGATAAAAGTCTATAAGTACCTCAGAGGACATTACTCAGTCGAGTGTGCGTATCTGGAATTGGCGGATGCCCGCCTCACTAGAAGTTACAGCTTAAGGTTGAAGAAGCCACAAGTCCAGAAAATTGTTAGGGCAAACTTTCTCAGAGTGAGAGTTGTGAATTCTTTGAACATTTTGCCAGAGAGCGTTATGACTGCACAGCGTGTGAGCTCATTCAAGTCCAGACTTGACCAATACTGGCATTGGTGCAGAGACATTCTGGATCCAGTCAGAACCGGATTAAGCTTAATAAGGGCCTGAGGCACAGATCAACTTGGGGCCCCCTACCCTCAAGGTATATATATATATATATATATATATATATATATATATATATATATATATATATATATATATATATATATATATATATATATATCTTGATAAAATCACACGGGAAAATGGAAACAACGGAGTACCTTAGCTTTCGTCTTTATTCAAGACATCTTCAGAGGCAACTGGATTACATGGACAGAGAGAGGCTTAAATATACAGGGTGACCTAAAAACATGAGGTCAGGTCATAATGATGACATCCACTAATCCCCACACCAACACACACGTAGAGGAGCTTAAGAGAAGGGTGGTGACGTGACTAGACAGGTCAGGTCAGAAAAAAGGGACCCACAAAATAACTATCATACATCAAGATCAAAGGTTTTCAAAGCATTTTTAACCTTGGGCCACTGACAAATAAATTTATGTAACATATTATCAGTTTTGAACTGACCATCACTTAGGTTTATTGATTTTAATTCCTTAATCAAACTAGCTTCAACCAGAAGTCTTTCTGTGACACAAGATGATTTGAATACTTCTAAGCTTTTTTCCCAAGCAATGGGGTGATTATTATTCCTAACATGAACGAACAAGGCACTGCTTTCAGATGCAGTTCTGATATTATACTTATGTTGTTTGATTCTGAGCTGCAGTGTTTTTCCTGTCTGACCTACATAATTACAATTACATTTGCTACATGGAATACAATAAACACTTCCATTTACATTAAAACTTGGGCTATTCCTTATTAACATATTGGTAATGGTTGAGTCATACTTGAAAACAACATTAATATTTAGAAGCTTGAGGGACCGAACTAACGGGACAAATTCATTACGATAGGGCAGAGTCAAAATATTCTTAAGTGTAGGAACTTGTCTGGTTTGAGAGGAATGAAAGGATTTTTT